TTTCTGATCGTCACAGCCCCCGAGACAGACCCATACACTTGGGTCACCGGGAAATCCCAGTGACCAGGATCTGACGGCTGTCAGACCCAACGATTATTAGTTCTGGACTCTTTTTTTCTTATTTTGGTTAACACTGTGTTTAAGGCTGTCACCCGCTACCGAGCACAGTGATTTGGAATTGGGTTATTTGATGACGTCTCCAACGGGAGAGACGGATTCAGATCGCTCGAGGAGCTTCACTAGATCCAACCCACAGGCCAGGGTGGAGATTATCCAGGGAAGTTGCTCCGTGAAGGAGATTCGCAAGGCTAGGGTTATTATGCTGGTCATCAGCCCATGAGGTCGGCGGCTTGCCCGTCCATCATCCTACCCGGGATCCTTGAGACAGAGCCCGGGGACGGAGTACTTCGGTGGAGAGGAAGAGAAGCGGAGGATCCAAATACGGTATATGGGGGTCAAATTCAAACAGTACAAACAAGCGTAACAGCCCAGATGATGTGTGGACTGTTGTGACCCCGTTAGGATGGTTAGTGGTGGGTCTCGTGGCAGCCCGGATAAGATCTGTCATATTCGAACATCTAGGGATCGACGGGTGAGGATGAAGAATTCAGTGGGCCTCATGCATCGAGCAAGTGTTCTTTCTCTCAGCTAGCCCCACGTTCCGTGCTCGCCCATCCCTTGGGAGTCTTGAGGCTAGAGTAACCAAAGATTGGTCTTGGTCATTCCCGGATTGACACTCCCTGGATATAGCAGTCCCGTATGAATTTTTTTTCCCACTTTGCACCCGTTTCCCCCGTTATGATGGCGGATGATTCGTTTCTTTACCCGATTGGGGGAGTTTCGACTTTCGACTGACTCTGGACGTTAGTAGCCAACCCGCAGAGGCTTTTTAATTAAGCACCAATATAAGCGAAATTCAGGACTAGGAGTGCCCCGGTTCCCTTAGCTTGATGAGTTGGCAATACCTCCATCTATCTATCCAATTCTTGAAGACCGCCGAGACAGAGGTCAGAATCAAGACGAGCACCCCATGATGAACCCCTGTTTGGACCAACAAACTCAACCTGGCACGTACTCGTCACCCAGGCACGAACTCTTTTTCGAAACTCAAAAAAAAAACAAAAAAAAAAGGACCGTCACGTACACACATACACAGACGGATGTCGGTATGCATGTACCTGAGTACATACATCGCATACGTACCTTTTTGCAAGTGAGTTCCTCTCAAGCCATGGACAATCCCAGAACCAGTCATGTGTACCTACATTGAACCTTCACGATGCCACCGAAATTGTCCGAATGGCCTGGGGTTTGGTCAATTCCTCATATATTCTCCGATATACCATGGTCTGGAAGAGTCGATACTCCATCATCCGGCCTGTTATTGGTGACCCAGACTGTGGGAGCAGGAATAGATGAGAGGGGGACGTGTGAGGTTTGAACCTTAATCGGCCCTCCTCCAGTTGCAAGGGCTCCCCTTCCCGTGGGAAGTCCTCTCTCGGGATCTCATCCACACCAACGGGTTTGCACATATGATTCCATTAAAACGTACTGGGTCATGACTTCCCGGGATGCACTCCTGGTTACTTCATAAGGTCGAGCTATTGTGTTGGTGGTGTTACACGGCAGGATATCCAGCGGGGGGTCAGTGCAATAGCACCAATCTTATTAGTACGAACTAGGTGCCTCGCCTTAGGGCACGATCAACATCCCCGACCACGATCAAATGGAATCCTTCAATTGCGACACTCAACTATACATTTATTTATTTTTTTGCCACCCTGAGGTGAAAGGTTAATAATAATCATATAAAAATCAAAAAAAAGAAAAACGAGTAATCAACATTCCCAAAAGAGTTAAGTCATAAATAAAATGGACGTCACGACAAAACGCCTCAACGGGAACCCCAACTCGCCACGGTACTCGAACAATCTCCAAACAATATGATGCATCACATTGGTCCCAGAAGCCCTACCCACAACAGACCAACCGATCAACCACACAGACACCCAACGCCTCCTACCGGTTTCAAAGCGCACACACATACATTAACGACCTGCATCATTACTACATGCATACAACTGCTACCCTCAAACAGGGGACATCCCTCCCCAGGGCTAACCCTGCGCAATGGGGACAACATGTATCAAGTCTCATCCATTCGCTGGGAGGTGGCCACGAAGGCATTGCTCTACCAGCTGGGGGCGAGATTCGATGTCTAAGTTAATCGACTCGTGCTCGTGTTTCAGGTTGTGGCTCTGGTTCTTCCTCCTCCTTCTCCTCCCCCCCCCCCCCCCCCCAATCCCAATAGTTTATTGCCGCCGGCATAGTATTATTAGCATACGTACCTACATCCGACCTTTCTTTGATATATGCATGCAGTGCCTCTTTCCTTTTTTTTTTTTCCCTGTATTCTCTATTACGCACATAGAGAGACAGAGGTTCCATTATCCACTCCTGCAAGGATCACCTATGCCTGCTGAACAGCGTGCAGACAAGCCCAGTAGGATCCTTTGTATGATGATAGCAAGGTATCCATCCACATTGACCATTATTGCCACCGAATCCACGAAGCCCAAAACTTTCCTACCTTCCTTCCTACCTGCCGACGACACTAAACCAAACCAACGCATGCTCTAGGACAACTGAGCTGCGTAGCGTACCAGGCATAGCACCCTCCCCCGGTCCAACACCACGTAGAACCGCTCTCTCAAGCATAGCCAATTGCGTCAACACGCCGGAGACAGACAGCCACCTTACATTACCTATCCAGGCTAAACGAAGCCGACATGATTGAGCCCTAACTCAGAAAAGAAAACAAACCTGAGGCATCCACAGCCAGATACGGCAGGTAGTATCCGCATAGAAGCTGCAAGGCATGGCCATTGTATCTATCATATCAATCCCACCCACCGCATTCCAAATCGACCAAGCTTTCGGTTCCAAGTATTTGTTCTTTCCTTGGTTTTCTTGCGTCCCAGAGTGCCCTTCAATAGAACGACCCGTCGGTACCCAATTTCAATAAACACGGGCTTCCTCACTTGGTGTCAAATGCCAGGGAAAAGATAACCCCAGCAAATCCCGGTTGTCGAAACCCAAGTCCCCATCTATCTGTCTATCACCGAAGGGAGAGAGATATGGTCATTCACGGGGATCGGGAGCAAAACTCAATGAACAGCCACTGCTTACTCGGAAAGGAAGGGAACCCACTGTGAACCCCATGCTCCATTGAACGTAAAAACGCAATGTCAATCCGTACATAAACAGAATAGTCCCTTTTATCCACATTTCCCAAAGCGTACCCGGCAGAACCACCTGTCCAGCTGGTACAAAAGTACCAAAAGCCGAGAGAGAAACTTCCCTCCCATCACACGATATCCACACCAACGGGGAATAAGACGTAGGGGAGGTTAGACGAAAGATAACGTGAATAAGAATAATAAGAATAGAAAGAGAGAGTCAGAGAGAAAAGAAAGGGAAAGGAACCCGCGGGCTCTCCGACCCTTTCGTCCACATGGTTGAAACCAAGGAATTTTGTTCCGGCCACACCAGATACACGATCAGATCCACGAGTCTCCAGTGTCTATCGGCCTTAGAACTAATAATTACCTAGACTATCCATCATTTTCTTGTTTTGGGGGTAGTATCTTGTCCTGGGAACCTCTATCTCTCCAATATTTAACATTAGAGCCCACCAGCACGGGTCGATTTCCGGCACCTTAATTTCTTGCACCCTAGTTTCCATCTATCTACTTTTGCTTCCCGTGTGGATATCTCGATCTCCCTTCTTTGTCTGTTGACTTTCCACTCCTCTTCACTCACTCTCCCTAGTCCCCACCATGGTGCATATTAGTGTTTATTGGGAGGGGAGGGGGGGGAGTGAAATGAAACAGATATAGATCTGTCAATTGAAACTATATCGGATCGACAAAGGCGGATCATCGTTCTCTGTCGAAGAGGAGCACCCACTCAGCCACCCCTTAAGATGGGATAATATATCATGATCTCGAATATTGAAGTAGAGAGGTTCCTTTCTGGTCACAATTTGTCAAAGGTTAAACCTTAACGGGGAAATCCTGAAGGTAGGTGATTGCAGGACTCTCTGCATGAAGCTGTATAAGGAGAGCACCCACCGTGTGAAATGACTCGTCAATTTGTCTGCAACCATTGAAGAACTTTTTTGTTTTTAGGAGAAGTAGCCCATGTAGGCACAGCTGTACGAAGCACATACCCTCCCACGGGCCGCCGTGTGCTAAATGCTCATGGAGATAACACGTCCCGTTCTGAGATCCATTTCCGTTTGCTGAATCGTGCACGATCTCAGCATCGCCTCCGGGCGAGAGCCGCAATGACCTCATCGGTTACGAATCTTGCGATGGGTGTAGTACAGTATCAGTCGGAATGGTAGTTGCCATGGTTGACTTGGATTTTTCTGTTCTCCACGTCAAAGACCCCAGCAACTCCCATGGCTACTGCATGCCTCCAGGAAGATATCTCCCTACATTCAAAGAGTTATTGATTTACGAGGTCAAGTCATTCACAATCTTACCTACAGCACAAACTGGCCCTGGAACAAGTGGCCAAAGAATAAAAATGTTTATGACACAAATACATCATCTGAAAAGGAGCGCTATAAAACAAGACTTTAGACGCCTGTCTTCAACAAAGCGTGTGGCCCGCACGTAATTACTGATATCAAGCACGCTGGCTTGCCTCGAGACCGACACGAGTGAGCGGCTTCAGACATATTAACCACCAATTGCAATTTCATACAAAGTGAGACAAAAAAAAAAGCTGGACCATCAGATGGACGTTACAGGTTTCCACTGAGGGCGACAAACCCAGACTGCGAATTTGCTCAAACAAGTTCAATTATAGTCATAAAAACCAAGCACAGGAATCAATATACCCATTGCTTATTAAGCAACTCTACACGGCAGTAAGTGGAGTCCGATAAAAGAAATAACAAAGTGCACAACGGTTTGGTATCGAGAAGTCCTTTACAGAGCATACTGGACAAGGGCACCGAAGACAGCGGCCAAGCCCATGGCAGGCATAGAAGACACATCGAGAGCAGAAGCAGCACCAGTAGAGGTGGCAGAAGCCTTGCCAGTGGAAGTGGTAGAGCCAGACTTGCCATCACGGGTCTCGGGGGTTTCGGTGGTCTTGCAGGTTTCCGTGCCCTTGATGACCTCGCGGCCCTTGGCCATCTTGTCGAAGGCAGTGCAGCTGATGTTACCAGTGCTCTGCATGTTGAAGTCACCGCGAACTAACTTAAGGGAGTCAAGGTGGGCCCTAGAAGATATCGTTAGAACGGATTTTCAAATTTTTCATGCCACTCATGGCAAGCTTCCAAACTTACTCGTTGAATTCACCGCTGAAGTCAATAGCACCGGTGACGGTCTCCAACTTGGGGAAGTCGATGACGTTAAGCTTGTCACTGCGGGCAATCTGGAAGCCACCGTTGACAGTCTTGAGCACAGGCATGCTGATGTTGCTGAGCTTGCTGTTGTCGTTGAAGATCAAGTCGCTGGTCTCGGTAAGGTTAGGAGCGCTGAACGACTGGAACTTGTTACCCCAGAAGCCGAGCTGGCCCTTGAGCTTCTCCAAAGAGGGAACGGAAACCGAGCTGACGTTACGGAAGGTCATGTTCTGACCAGTACCAAGGTTGGGGAATTCAATCTCGAGGCCGTCCATGTTACCAGCGAAGTTGATGAGAGCAGTAGCGTTCTTCAGGTTGTTGACGTTGACGGTCTTCAGGTTGGTGTTCTCGGTAATATCGAAGCCGCCGACAGTCTCAAGCGAGATACCGTTAAGGCTGCTCAAGCCAGTGTTGGTAATGACGACACTGCCAGCTTCCGTAACTCCCTTGGTGAAGTCCAGGCTCTGGAGCTGAGGCAGAGCGGTAAATTCGATCGAGCCAACCTTGGTGAGCGAGCCGAAGCTGAGGGTAGTGAGGGTGGTAAGACCAGTCAGCTTGAAGGTGTCGCCAATGGAGTTCAGCTGAGAAGCTGAGAAACCGGTCATGTTGGAAGCACCATCGCAGCTCAGCGAACCGGAGATCTGCTTGATTCCATTGAGTTGAAGATCGCCGGCGTAGGTTCCGGAGACCTCAACATCGCCCTTAAGGGTGCTGCAGCTGGAGTAGCCGTCGGCATCGCTCTGGTTCTCGATCTTGATGGTATCACCCTTGCCGCAGTCTATGTCGATGGTTAGTTATTTGTTTTGAATCTTGTTTCTGTGCGCCATTCTTCACTTACTATCGCTAGCAGCAAAGACGGCCTGGGCCGCAGCCAGGGCGGGAAGAGCGTATTTGATGAACATTGTTATGCGATTCCTTCGATTAGAGATAGTGTTAGTACGTTGGGCACCATCAAAAACTTTCTTCAGAGAACAGGCAACCAGGGTTTAGTAGCGCACGCAGTCTCAGGTATTGGTATATCCAATGGAACACATTGAAGGATTGTCTGAGTATTGAATAGATAATGGAAGCCTTCACTTACTAATAATCTTGTGGACTACTTGAGTATGAGGGGCGATGTTTAGCCCTTACCAGATAACAGTAGCGCAAAGTCGCGAAGAGTTGAAAGAGGGGTGGGATTCAAAGATAAATAAACGAGTGGAAGAAAGATAGAGCTTCAACGAAAGAGAAGCTGGTTGATGATGGTTCCTTCAGCGAAAGGATGTGCACAGATTCGGTAGGCACGTCTTGACACAACAGAAAGAGAGAAAAGGAGAGGAAGAGAAAAGAGAGACTAGGATGGCGAAGAAAAGCGTCAGAAGAGGGAAGGAAGGATTGGCTTTCCAGGAGCGCAAGAAAGGAGTCGTGGCCCGAGGACGGTGGACCTGAGACCGGGGGGGGTCCCTCCTTGCTACGACCAAAATTAATTACGTTACTAGTACGTGTATCACCACGGTAATCCATTATTTTTTTATTTTTGAATCCTCTGTTTTGTTTCGCATGGGAAAATATTATTACCGGATGCAATGCTAGCAGGAGGGGGAAATCCTGTTTTTTTCTTTCTTCTGACCGGGAATGAGCCCGTTGTTCCTGCTGAGTTTCCCCTATCGTGTCGCACCTTTCCAATCACCAAGGTTCAATTCCAATTCTGATTCGCCATCGGAGCCTTCCTTCCCCATCGCCATTGACCATTCATACCAAAACATTGTCAATCCGTCCCACTCCTCCGCTGTGTACCTGGACCCCCGTCGGTACAATCCTACTGTAGCCGAAATAGCAATAATCATAATCAAAACCAAAATAATGATCGGAAAAAGTACCTACACAGTATACAATATCATCCTTGCGTGTCTGTATTGCGCACAACTTGGGATGTCTGCCTTTCTGCTCTCCTGTAGTTCTTCTACCATTTTTCACTAAATTATCATTATTAGAACATCGATAGTACTACAAACAGTATTTTGGTATTGAGTATTGAGTATTATGTACAGTATACGGAGTAGGACAGCTGGTATGCGCCAAAATACTGTCTCAAAACAAAGAGCAAAAAAAAAAAAATAAAAATCCCTGACCTCATAGTGGAGTGACTCTATTTAAACAGATATAATCAGTATAGAAGTATAGATACGACTATCAAGATCATCATGGTGATCATTCATTAACAACAATACAGATTTACAGACAATTCCCCCCTCCAGTACGGAGTACCTACAAAGTACTATTTGTTCTCTGTATTGGCGCTAGAAGGGGCCAGACTCAGACAGATTACTAGTACCTGGATATCATGGATTTGCATGCAGCGTCGTTGTCGGGAGTATTATTACCACTCAGTCCAGCATCTACCTAGGCAATAAGTGAGCAAGCCCGATCACCCCATTCCAAACCGAAACTATCTGCTACGGCCGACCCAATTCATACCATATTTAGGAGCAAATGTCATTCCTTCATTTCTCGGAGTCCCTTGAATGCTATTAACGTTAGACAAATTCATTAATAGAGGATAAATAAAGCCTGCCGTGGCCGATCTGAATTTGCTGGAATCTAGTGGGACCCGCTCCCTTTCCCATTTCTGGTTTGTGAGCCATTGCGAACAGACAATTGGAATGGAGAGTCGCCTGCCCAAGTGGTCGGCGACCAACTCTGGCCTCATGCTGACATGCGCGTTCATATGTGGCTGTCAGAATCTTCGTTCTTGTCATGTCAACTGCCGTTTACTTACATTCTTCTGGCCGCGATCGCATTTTATTCTCATGGGGTAACCTAACTAATCGCTTTACCTCTACTCCGTCTGTTGACGATAACTCGATCTACTCCGTAAAACCCAATGTAACCGATTCCATGGTTCGATTTTTTCTTTTGTTTCTTGGCTCATGTTTTTTTTCTGAGCCGGACTGGTCAGGTACCATGGATAAAGTGGGTAATTACTAGTATAAGTAAACCGTTTACCAATGGTGGATAAGAATAGGTGAGTCTAGTGGCGAAACCACGGCTGGAACGTCCAATGGATAATCATCATCACGTGTCGAAGAATACAACTACGGCTGTAATTTCCATACTTCAGCTCTGGCCCACTTGGTCTGATGCTAATGAAGCTAGTCAGACCCATACTAAGCTCCTGTAATTGCGATCTTACAACACAACGGGGCAACCCGACTCAGTTTAATCTGCACAAACCAACAAAGACGTCTTCTAGACTCTATGCTTGACGCTGACTATACCTAAGTACTCCTCCCTGCTGTGGCGAATTCTCAGTCTCACTCTGGAAATAAAAAAAATACTATGATGATTAAAGTACGACCGACGAATCATTCCAATATGGACGTAAACAGAACCGTCTCTATACAGAATCCGGTAGTCCTCCAGATACAAAAGCCATTTTGAGGAATGTTCCAGTTGTTTACAATAATTGGGAAACTCAACGGCAATAGCTTGGCAGATCGATCCTTTTCCTTCTTCATAAACCAGCCTTTGTTGGAAAGAATGAAAGCTGATTGCTTACTTTTCTCGTCGCGATCGGTTTAGGGTTCTCACCCTTCACTCCACTATCGGCCACGGCCCATCCAACTCCACAGCTAGCCGTCGTAACAATCGCCCCTTCCTGGTAGTCTGCCATATTATTGGTATAACTGCATGGAGTATTTCGAAAGTACTATTTCGTAATGTACCCGATCTTCTAGCTTCTCTCCCCATCTCACAGAGAGTCATGCACTACGAAGTAGGTAATGGCTTTTGTGTAGTGTTTGCCAGTACATTCCACACCGTGGCGTTTCCGTTGGCTCTTTACCTTGACCATACAGTGTACAAAGTTATTACAATCCCATATCCTTGGCATGTTACACCTAGATATACAAGCCTGATGCACTTCGGTGCCTTCAAACCCATTAAACTAGTCCACGTAATGCTTGCAAACCCTGGTTTGATCGTCGCACATGTTAGAAAAGCAGAGAAAGACCCGAAAGCATATCAAGGGTACGTATGCTTCGGACGAGAGCGGCGACAACACAAGGTATCTTATGTAAGTGCTACAGTGAATCCATGTCCATCCGCATCATCCAGAGTATCAACTTTCGCAACTCAACTCTATAACCCATCTTCACTCCTGGTCGTCACAATTACTTAGCTCGGACAAAGTCGGCTTCTAACTCGGACAATCCCCTAATCGCAATAGCCGATCAGCTTTCCCGTTATCTCTAGAGCGGATATACCGTAGCTTCAAAGGAGGTTTTGTACTGTATTGAGGTCAACCAGATTGAAGGATTCGATCTGCATACCAGCGTCAACCTCGTGCCTTGTGACACGCTTCCTGAGATATCCAAGGCTAAAGAGGCAAATGACAGGCCAATCACATGTAGCCAGAGTTTAAGGAATGATCATTATCTTTTCAACATTTGTCTACACTTCCATCTTATCCTTTCAATGACTGCTCGCCGATCTGTCACTAGGAAAGGGTTTCAAGTGACTTCCGTGTTTTACATATTCCTTCCAGGGAATCTGGAACGGCACGGTAGCAGATTTAATCCCAACACATATAGAGTATCGAGAACACAGATCGAAATGACCTTCCGGCATCTTTCTCTTTTCCTATGACATTTGACATGCTATCTTTCGCCCGCCTAGAGTCATATATAGTCTATCTAAGAGCTCGCTAGCCTTCTCACAGCCAGAGCAGATCCACACCTACATTTAGTAATACCAGGCCCGGGATTTAGCTAGGTTGTCCGCTGAGCTTAGTGGTAGATATAGAAGTGACTATATTCTATACGACTCCGTGAAAGGGCTTGCTTCGCACTGTTAGGGGATGAGGACCGGCTCTATCCACAATATACAATATTGATGAAAGAATTCACATAACACTCGTTTATATTCCACATCTCTCTTCTGTATCTAATGGAAACTACCATCATCTTCGACGATGAGCGCACCGCTTTTCAAATGCTGGCCTTGGTATCGTAGGGATGCACCTTATCGCAATCCTCTCATAAACTACGGACCACACATAGTCTTATTACAACACCCTGGTAGCTATATATCTCCATCTACCCCTCTCGTTCATGCAGACTATGGAGCCAAAGAAGGCTCCGGAAAGGTACTCCGTATCCATGGATGGGGCAAATGGGGAGTGGGTGTTTAGGGTTATACCACCTCTAGTAAACCACTATCACCGAGAATTACCTTGGTAGGAGGTACCTAAAAGGCACTCAGTGAACTTGGAACAGGGTATTATGGTTGCAGAACATCAATACATTGTTTAGTCATGCTGCCATTGCATGTAGTTAACTACTCATTCATTCATTTATCAATCGATTGGCTCAGTATCTACTCGGCTGAGCTGAAGCTAGACTTGATCGGAAACAGAGTATTGTATACTAGGTATAATACTCCTTGTCACACTATGTAAATACACCAATACCTAAGACGAATCTTACCTGTACCTACCCGCCACCACGTTCTTCGAGGACGCCACTGGGCGGGTGGCTAAACACTACCTAACGCCCCAGTGCCCCGACGACGTTAGTTCGTATGACTGCTCTCAAAGGATGAAACAACTGCGGCCCGGAAATAGCCAAAAGTGGCTGAGGATGAATGAACAATCATCATATTCATATACATCACAGAGTTACATGCGAAACGGAACATAGAGACGCGGTTACCCCGACGATTACAGGACGCCGTGCAACTCGAGTAGGGGGGTCATTAGACAATGTCAGTGCGACCTGAACCACCAGGAATATGCAGCAGCGGCTTTGGGTTCCGCTCCGATATTCATCATATCGGAAACCCTGCCTGTCAGCTTGGCACCACTTAACTTAAGCTTTTTGAACAACTCATACATTATCATATCAGCACGTTAGCCGCTACCGATCACAATTGGTCATTGTCGCGTTCGAGAAAGTTGGCTGATATCGCTAAGATCGGACTGAAAACAAAGTCCGAGTGCAACTCAAGCGCATGCAAAGCTCTGTATACGGTGCATTTGTTCTATGGGTTTCTAATATTAGACGGCTAATTGAGTGCAATGTCCGGCCAAGCCCATTTCCTTCGGCCAAGGGCCGGTTTGTTGACCCTAGTTACGGACTTAGATAATATGGAGCACCTGTACCATATTTCCTAGTGGCAGCCGTATCGATAGGTATCTTCAGGCTACTTACTACCTAGTAATTCAATATACAACGGGCAGCAGTATTACATACACTAGGGCTGCTGATGTGGATAATCAAGTTTATCGACGGCTTCGGTTCGCTTGAGCATTAATTAACGTCGAGATGACGCAAGCACATTCTTTTGTGTGACTTTTCCTTGGATGTGTGTGTATGTGGACTCGATTTCTGTATGCAGTGGGCGATTCTATTCGGATTTCATTTTATTTCAAAAACAAGAAAAAAAGAAAAAAGAAAAGAAAAGAAATACTACTTTTGCCGATATTAGAGTCTTTCAAAACGATACGTCTCTATTATCCTCTATGCATAACTGAGCCACACTGTAAGGGCAAAGGCAAGGAACAATAATGATATATTATTCGGTAGCACCAAGTGGACTGTTCTGCAGTGAGACTTGATTATGTATGCATGTACGTACATGTTGTACTCTGAAGATTTTAGATGATACTCGGTAATTATCTTGAATGGTTCGAGTACTCAGTCCACACTCTAGCCACAAAGGATATACCATGAAAGATACTACTAGTAGTATATTCTCGGACTAAACATGGCATATTACCATACCAGAAGATAGACCAGCTATACCGAATAAGCATGCGTTAGCAATTGCTACCAGAAGAATGACAGCTGGAGGTATTACCCATTACTATTTACAATATGTTAACTTGCCAAGCTGCTTTCGAGTGTTATGCACTCAAATGACCGTAGCACATGTATAGGGGAAACACAATAGCTGGGACCCACATCACAAAATATACGGAGTTACACCTAACTTCCTAATATCGCTTTCACTGCCTTCAAGTAGATTCATTCCTTAATGCCTACGAACTACACCAAATAAGCACATAAGCTCAATATTCTCAAAGGTTACTACTGCTGCGGGAAATACGAGCCCCGTGATTGATGACATATCCCGAGCTCTCACCGTGACAATCCACTAACCACAGCTCCAACGCAAGCTTTCCAAAAGACCGCTGAGTTAATTACATTCAAGATACAGAACACCAATTTCATTTCTGAAGTGGAAAGTATATAGAGAGCTATACAGGAATATACAATGGCCCTCCGGCGCTCTGCACGCTTAAGCACCGTGACCAACAGCTTACAACCCTCCATCCAAACAAAGAAGACTAGCAAAGCCCAGCAAACCAACGGCGTCACCAAAGCACGAAAGCCCCCTGCAAAGGGAAAGAAAACCGCGGGCTTGAATCTAGAACGGACTTTTGAGAACCCACCTCCAAGCAAAACAGCAAAAGCCGACACGGCCGAACAAGAAAAGCCCAGTAACATTTTCGATCCTTTACCCACTGATCGTAGTATTAGCAGGCTACACTCTACACCCCCTCCTCTTGACCGTCCCGTTGAACCTCACAGAACAAATGCGACCCTTCTAACACCTCACGGTTCTTCTCTGGTTGCCTACCCACCCGGTACTGAGAATGCCTCGCCTAGCAAGACCGGCCGACCACGCCCAACAGCCACGACCGGTACGCTTCTCGAGAAAGCTGTCGCTCATCTAATAGCTACAGACCTCCGATTGGAGCCGGTCATAAAGCAACACCCGTGTCCGCTCTTTTCGCCAGAGGGTTTAGCAGAGGAGGTCGATCCTTTCCGGAGCCTGGTGGTTAGCATCATCGGACAGCAGGTATCAGGCGCTGCGGCGAAGTCAATCAGGGATAAATTCGTGGCATTGTTCAACAGCAAGGGTAGCGGAGATGTTGCACTAGAGACGAACTGTTTCCCGAAACCCGAAGAGATAATCAAGTGTGATATCGCGACACTGCGGACTGCCGGTCTCTCTCAGCGGAAAGCCGAATATATCCAAGGACTATCGCACAAATTCGCAAGTGGTGAATTGAGTGCCCGAATGCTGCTGAATGCAAGCGATGAAGAACTTCTCGAGAAGCTGACGGCTGTCCGGGGCTTGGGCAAGTGGTCGGTTGAGATGTTTGCTTGCTTTGCGTTGAAACGCATAGACGTCTTCTCGACCGGTGATCTGGGCGTGCAGTAAGTCGTTGTGCACTATGTCTATGCGGGCATCGCTGGAGAATCCCCAAATGGTTACTAACTATGGGATAGAAGAGGATGCGCAGCTTTCGTAGGGAAAGATGTGAGTAAATTAAAGGCAAAGGGGGGCGGTAAGTTCAAGTACATGGCAGAGAAGGATATGTTAGAGCTGGCTGCGAAATTCGCGCCGTATAGGTATGTTATGTGAACCCCGAAAGCGAAATGCGTGGAATGCAGTTCTCACATGCCCTCGATAGAAGTTTATTTATGTGGTACATGTGGAGGGTAGAGAACGTGGATATCGCGGTCTTGACTACTTAGAGAGTAAATTCTTGGTTTGTAGTGTACGACGTTGTTGGTATATATTGGGCGGCCTGGTAGTGTGTACCACGAAATTGAAAACCGCAGGTATCCTGCGAAACGGAGTGCTTTCCCAGGTTGCAGTTGGTAGTATGAGAAAAACCCTTCAGAAGAGTACTAGTTGGCCGTGCTCGTCAAGCCAAATGCTTATCTGGTTAGACCCGGCATATGTATCCATGGCTGCAGATACTACGACTGGTGGAGCCTCAGCCACAGACATTACTGACTGAATGGTCAATTGGGAGAATTCAATCAACAAAATGACGATAAATGAATTTGTACAGTATCAGTACACATGATCGAACGACGTATCAAAACCAATTAAATTCAGCCCAGTGCTCATCGCAACTAAGCGCTGCAACCGAACCGAAACATAAGCCTGTCTTCATCTATAGCCCGCTTTTCTATCACCATGGCGCGGTTTTGACTCTTCCTAATCAGCAGAACTGAGCACAAGGTATTTACCGGCGCTTGACAACGAGGGAGTCGAGATCCGCACGCTCCTTCTGCTCCTTCTCGATCTCACGGATGATGGGGCTCAAGTATTCGACATCCTAGCAATAGCAATCAGCGATTTGTTGCTCCAATTCCCTATAGAAAGTCTCGGCTTCCTTTGGTTTGGGGTCTGAGGTGGCCTATATATGATGTAGGTCGGTTGACAAATCCGCTTCACGGGATTGGTCGAGAGGCTTTGCGGAGAATGGGAGGGCGAAATGCTAAGTAAAAAGCTTGAAATTCAACTCACATCTTGAGGCTTGGTCTGCTCATTGGCGGGGAGGAGGGTGTGGGAAACGGAGCACTATTTGTTGTATGCATTAGACCACTGGTTGGGAAGATATCGTAGTTAGTAGAGACAAACCTGGAAAGCCCTGCGGATACGGAAGACACGGTCATAAGCCTCCTTAGGGGGAAGGCGCTTGATGGCCGTCTGGACAACCTCGCTCTCCTCGGGGATCAGGTCATCAGCCCTGTTTCTATTAGCTAAACTGCGTCTGATGTCGAGCTATTGAAAATTGTTCCCTGGATAGGCGTAGACCGAGATAGGACGAGAGAGGCTATAGGAAATATTGAGGCATTCAATTGGGAGCCATCGCTTCGACCTATCGGTATTTCCTGGCGCCTGTTTTGGGAGATTGAGGGCAGGGAGGCCTACTTCAAACCGAGTCTTCTGTAGCCGGCGGCGTCGGTGTACCAATTGGCAATGGGCATCATCCAGCGCTTGAGCCAAGGGCGCTTGACGATATAGCTGCTGAGAGAGGGAGCGGACATGGTGAATAATCCCAAATGGATGTATTCTGGGGTCAATTGATATAATGCGGAGAGGAGGGGGGTCGTGAGATATCAGACAAGCTGAACAAGAGTTGGCCCGACGTTGGAGATTGTGCAAAACGGAGGTTCGGCGGGTGACTTTCCCAAAAACATCCGATCTTTCATGCCTGAGGCAATCAACCTGACCTTGACGCTTCCGATCTTTGCGCACGTGACTAATTCTCGGCTTGCCTCAGACTGCATAGCGCTTGGGACCGGGGTGAACTTAATAGTACTCCACCTGACCGACAGAGGGCGTTCCTTCGATTCACCTCAGTTACCATTCTCCGTGCTGCTCCGTCCTCGCCGTCAGTTCCGAAAATCTCGATTGACTCATTTCCCCCTCGAGACTTGCAACCCTACCGACCATCCCCAATCTTTGAGAATTGGTTATGGGGATCATCAACCGTTAAATTCATCCTGTGGTCCTGTAGGGGAGCTGAGTCGCTTCAAAGACCCCACCTGTCTGTGCTTCGGATAGGGCACGCTCAATCATAAGGTGGATTTCTCAGCATCGAGTCATTTGTCAAGACCCCCTCAATTCATTGGACCAGACACTGCCATTCCAACGCTCGCTGCAAAAGACGGAAAACATTCACACTCCGCAGGACAACCAACCATTCTGGGTTCCGGAGCGAGCACCGCTATGCTCGGGTCCGGGAGCCCTCGTGACAATTAAGACGGATAGATAGACTACTTGGGCGCTGGCTAGAAGGATGTTTTCAGAAGAACACGGCACTTCGGCGACTGCCAACAGCTCCCAAGAGCAGCAAATTACACATACAGACGGCCCTACCCACCCCAACTTCGATGCGTCTTCCGCTACAAGCCCACCGAGTTCTGCGTTGATCACTCGCCTCGAACTACTCTCTACCCGCGTTCCAGATTTCTATATTGCCCCCTTTTGCGGTGCCAGTGCGGGTGTCGCGTCAGGTATTGTGACATGCCCTCTCGATGTGATCAAGACCAAGTTGCAGGCCCAAGGAGGGTTTGTGCGGAGAGGCGGGCAGGTGGTTGAAACGAAAGCGTTATACCGAGGTATGCTAGGTACTGGAAGGATGATATGGCGTGAAGATGGTATTCGAGGACTATACCAAGGTTTAGGCCCCATGATTTTGGGATATTTGCCTACATGGGCAGTTTATTTGGCAGTTTATGATAGGTCTCGGGAATATTATCATGAAGTCACCGGTTTGTCCCCTTTCTTATTTATCTCGGGAATCTGTTTTACTAAAGCTCTAAGCAGATAGCTGGTGGCTTGCAAGAGGTTATGCTTCTCTAACGGCTGGCGCTTGCTCTACAATTGTGACTAATCCGATTTGGGTCATCAAAACGCGACTTATGTCACAGAGCCTTAGATCGGATAGCGAGGGTTTCCGTGCTCCATGGCGGTACTCGGGCACATGGGATGCGGCTCGCAAGATGTACAGGACCGAAGGGATTCGGTCATTTTACGCGGGGCTCACACCGGCATTGTTGGGATTGACACACGTTGCCATACAATTTCCGCTTTATGAATATTTGAAAATGGCATTTACTGGGTATGGAATTGGGGAAAATCCTGACCACGGTACCTCTCACTGGATTGGGATATCGTTGGCGACATTCCTCAGTAAGATCTGTGCGAGCACAATGACCTATCCGCATGAGGTACTGCGAACGAGACTTCAAACCCAACAGAGAACGTCTCCTGTGTCTTCTCCGGAAGAGATAGCCTTCCGCGGAGGAGTAGACCACCCAGAGTGCCGTGGTAGGCCTCCAACAGCGGCCTCGTCGGATGGCATGCCTAATCGGCCTCGGTATACAGGGATCGTTCGTACGTGTCAGACTATCTTGACAGAAGAGGGTTGGCGAGCATTTTACTCAGGAATAGGCACGAACCTATTCCGTGCTGTTCCAGCCGCCATGACTACCATGCTTACATACGAATATCTACGGAAAACCATTAACCACCTTCAACACGAAGGGGCATTGAAGCAGCAGATGGCAGAAGCAGCTAAAGACCCCTCCGGTATATGATGGTGACTGAACATTCAATCATTAGTTAATCTGAGGCATTGCAGGCTATTGTAAACCTCAATGCTACCATTACCAAGGGAGCTAATTGTATGCGCCTTGGCGTCTTGGCTTTGCGCTGCTAGTAATGGATACAGCAAAGAACTGCCTTGGGCTTGTTCCTTTTCTTACAAGTTTTACCCTCATACATCGAAATAAAAGGGTCTTACCTTTGAATATGTTCCTCGGCATCGGGGGTAGTCGGTTTCAGGGGTATTAAGGTAGATCGAGGTTTTGGCATGTGAAGAATCGATTTCCCTAATCTCTACAGTCTTATGACCGGTTTGTGTCGGTAGAAAACCTCGTTTATTTTATTTTCTTTTTCGTTAATTCACAAGCGTTCGATTAGTTTTCGCATAATACTTGCATGACTGCTCTTGTACATACGTTACTATACCTACGTGTTTATCGCCAGAAAACGCATATACTGAGTGAAGCGAAGCGAAGTACTTGAGATAAAATGGACTACAGAAGACAACTATGATTGAATCATATCATGCAATCTATTTGGTAGCTTGAGTTGAAATGAGTTTTCGCGTATACGTCAAAGTAGTATACACAAATAAATCACTTTCGGACAGCACGATGGTGTGCTTGATGGAACAGAAGAGGCCGTGTGGCATATATTATACCTTGGGGAAACTACTGAGGAATAAGGGCTGTACCTGATACAGTGAAGCCCTACAATTCTGTAATGAAATACATCAGAGATATGCGATTATTGAATTCTGTGATTCTCCTGTGTATATGCAATTTCATGACTACGATGGCTGGAACTCATAGTACATGTCTTTGGGTTTTATCTTAGGCTATAATACCAAAAAGATGAACATATGCCAAGCAATTAGCATGATAACGTGCTGGTTCTAATCAAGCATCATTGGTCTAGTGGTAGAATTCATCGTTGCCATCGATGAGGCCCGTGTTCGATTCACGGATGATGCAATCTCTTTTTTTGCTCCTTGAGCTGCCGATTGATATGAATGATGCTACATGGTCGAATTTTCCAAACACTCTTACACAACGAACTGGTCTTCTCGGGCTTCCTTTTTTGCGTGTTTTCATTTATTTCAGTAAGCATAGATAACAAAGCTGCCCGTCCCCGTATAGTACACCGACACACTGACTTCAAAGACGACCAATCTGAAATGTGAAAGAAAGCCGTGCATGAATATATATTGTGTGATTGTTTACTCTTGCTCCTGAACCACATTTCTCTTCTAGATAATGCTAGCCACATCATGCTCTAGCCTCACACCATATTAATATTACCATAACGCACTATTCTTGGTCAAGCAGGGCTAAGACACCTTGGAGAATTCGAGGAAACAAAGATAAAAGCCGAGTCTGGATAGGACTTCTCAATTAGGAAGTTCTATAGAACGACTCATGACCAAGTCTAACGCTTAGTCAGCTCACTTCTGACTACCGGAATAGGACTAGTACCAATTAAACGATCTACCTACTTTTCTTTTTAGCTCTCCCACAGTCACTGGCTTCTTCCTCAATTAACCTCTTATGAACATCAAAAACCTTCACAGGTAATGTTTAACCCTATTCGCATTGCGTCTCCTGCCCTCTATAATGTCTAGGAGGGATTTTTTAAAAGCAGCTTTTGCTATCCGATGATATGATGATACTTCTTTATAAATGGTAGATCCAGTCAACACTCTGGAAAGGACTATTTCATACACTGAAAATTCTGATCATGGATATCACTGCGAAATCTGACTTAGCATTTGGCTGTACATCTGCTAACATTTCACTAGTGTGCCCTATAGTATTACCTCAATAATAATAGGATAGCCTAGTTAGTTAGCATATACTAAAAACAATGAGAGAAGAATTGATATTACATGCGATATACATACCCCTTCAGCCTGTAGTACTACGCCCTGACTGCAACTCTAATGATTATACCATACAACATGCGTTACTTTGACGCCTTCCGTTCAGCTTCGCGACTTTCCTCTAGTGCCTGCTGAACCCATGACACTTGCTCCGTCTTCTCTCCTGCGGATTTCTGACGTGTAGCGGTGTTTGGAGCCTGCGCTTCACGGCGCGCGGTACGGATGGAGCTGACACAGTAGGTCGTGAGGATGAGAGCCATGGAAAAGGCAGCTATTGGGGCGTTGACAGACTGGTGACATTAATTGCTGTGAAATAATACCTACGGCGGGAATGGTACTGGCGATAAGGAGGCTCGGTGTTCATGCATCCTTTACGGGTACCATTAAAGGGTAAGATCGAACTTACACCCGACGATCGACCAAAGAATTTCCCCGCCATTTCCACGCTTCTTATATCTTAATGTACATCGCACGAATTAGCGCTTGGAGGTGTTTTTCAAAAACAGAAGGGAAGTTGATATCAGCTGATAATGGTCGGGGGATAGTTATTCCCTAACCGAATGAGGAAAGTCTTATCAGATGGAGGGCGGCAAATCCCCCTAGATCAGAGGAATTAATTACACCAACGCGCCGGTAAAAGAGTGTTCTGCTCGCTTGGTAATTCAGACCGTACGAGACCCTCGTTGGCCATCGGGAGAACCAATACCGTTCCTAAACCGGGATTCTATACTAGAAACAAAACTAGAAGGAACGCATCCCGCCGGTTCTCCCACCGGTGGAACTCTCTGCGGTTTCCCGTGGGAAATGGCTTGGACGGCCAACCACTTGCATCGATGCTCTCATCATGAGGAAAGGTCATTTGCTGGAACTCTCCATCAGATAACCAATCCTTCTATCATTCGGTTATGCGCGACTCGGGGGTAACGTCATGTCCGAGGCCGGACCCGCGAAGGCGACGGGGTTGCTGAAAGGGGCCTAGCGCCGGTGAATTAGGCCGGGTTTGTCATCGCCCATTTTATCATATTAATCAATCAGTGAAGTTCGATCAATCTTTCTTCAATCATCCATCACTACCTCGGTCATCGATTCTTCATCCCCCACAACCGGAGCTCTTTCCACATAACTATCTGAATCCCTTTTCACGACCTCGAGCAATTGGTTATACATCCTCGGAAATGTTCAGACGTCTGGTAACTGTCGCTCCCCGCGTTGGCACCGTGGTGTCGCCTCGCATCACCCCGGCCCTTGCCGGCATTCAAAGCCAGCCCATTCTCCGGGCCCCTGCGACGAAGAGAGGATATCACGAGAAAGATACGTACTTCGCCTCATAAGAAAAGGACGACAACGAAACTGACTGCATGCACTGTTAGATCACTATAACAACCCCCGTAATGGTACGTCCACTTGCATATATCAGAAGCTATTCGACCTTTGATGGACCGGGGTGAACATGCACTCGATACATTTTATTTTATGATGTACCCGGCCGTTCCCCGGCTGTCTTTTTATGCTTCTTTTTATGGCGCTAGTCTCCGACAGGAGTAAGGCTAACACCCCCCAAAGTTGGCAGTTTCAACAAGAATGACGCCGACGTTGCCACTGGTCTTGTTGGCGCCCCCGCTTGCGGTGATGTCATGAAGCTCCAGATTCGTGTTGACAAGGATACGAATGTGATCAGCGACGTCAGGTTCAAGACATTTGGCTGTGGCAGCGCCATTGCCAGTTCGAGTTACCTGACAGAGTTGGTGCGCGGTATGACTCTCGAGGAGGCTGGAAAGATTAAGAATACTGAAATTGCTCGTGAACTTTGTAAGTTTTTCGAGGAAAACTATACATTATCATCTATATCACAGTCTGCTAACTTTATACGTTCTAGGCTGTAAGTTATTCATCGTTCTTTTCCCTCGCCATACATTATCCTGCCTTTGAACGTGTTTTTCCCAACCGATGGTTATTCGTTACCCGAACGCCGAACCTTGCAAGCTGCCTGATGTGCTCCTGTGGGGGTTATTTTGTGGGGTTTCGTACATGCGTATGTGGATCTTGGGGTAAATGGTCGACTTCTAAGATTCCGCCACCAATGTGCGAAGCTGCCGGTCTTGAAGAACACGCGAAGTACTTTGGGTCGGCTTTCTCATTAAAATATATCCCGCAATGTGTTCCCCAACCAGGTCCCATTGTCCACCCTGCCCCAATTGCTGCATTGAATGGCTTGTCCTTCATTTTTACCTCAAGAACACTAAACAATCATATGCTTGCTTCTGGGAGAAAACATACTGACCAAACATAGTGCCCCCCGTGAAGTTGCACTGCTCTATGCTTGCCGAGGACGCCATCAAGTCCGCGATTTCCAACTACTATACGAAGAACCCTAATGCCCGTACAACCAACCTTGGAGGTACCGGTGCCTCTATCCCTAACGTCAAGGTCGAGATTGAGAAGTCTGAGGGTGCCGCTGCTACTGCTTAACGAATCAACAAGCACAACAATCAAAGTACAAAAATTCGAAAATCCAAACCAACAAAAAATTCAAGTTGATACCAGATGAGATTCCCTCAACAGTTTTACGGTTTATTAGCGGGAGGTTGAAAATACCTTTTAGAATGGAATAGCGTGCTTGGATGGTTCATTCTATTCCGGCAACAGACTGCATTGGGTGCAGTCCTTTACAGCAAGGTTGTTATTCTTCTTCACAAATGTGTTTTTTCTTTTCTTTTTTCCTTGTTTGTGATGATGCAGGAAGGCATTGTGATATAGTTAGTCCACTTGATGTGTCAAATAGTCTAATGAAAAGCACTTGCGTGCAGTGAATTTAGATCGTCCTCTATCGCTCATTGATCCGCATTTCCCTGTGCAGTTTAAGCCAGCGGTATCTATCTGGAGGGATTGGGATGCTTTGGACTTCTTGACAATCTATATTCATCCACTCAGGAGAGATCTCTATTGATATACATATATAAGGAAACAAAGAATAGGAACTTTTCGTTCTTAACCAAAGCAAGTCAAATGAAGAAAAAGAAGAACCCCAAAAAAATGTGGACACTCATTAGCCCCGCCATTGTGAAATAGATAACTAGGAAAGAAACGCCGCTGATGCAGATAAGCCAACCCGTGCTCATCTATCGATCATTAACCGAGTAGGAAAGGGCTCCCAGGGAGAAGAGGGAAGAAAAATTGGTCTAAAATAAGAATTTACAAGGTGCTACTTCTGACAACACGTCCAGAAGAGATGATCCAAACCGGTTCACTAGAGTAGTCCGAGCCGACTCTTTAGAGACAGCAGTGTCTCGTAGACCGATAGCTTGAGCTCGACGCGGAGGAACCCGGTCCAAGCAGAGAGGAAGCGAAGGAAGTTGAAGGGACGGAGAAGACCGCCCGTTTCGTGGATGAGGTCCATTTGTTCTTCGAAGACAGTGCGAGTGGCGTAGCGAGCGAGGATCAAGAATGTGCGGACGGGGCCTTGTCTGGTGTGGAGATTTTCGTCGAGACTGCGGGCTGTGCGGGTTGTTAGTTTACCACTGTACTCGGGCAGGCGGTAATGGTACACTTACTGAGGTCATTGGTCTTAAGAATCAGGAGTATGATTCTGGGTACCTGGCCCAGCAGTTCGACCAGCTGCTGCAACATGCCCTCTCCAAGAGCGCCGGACATGCTCTCCTTCTCCGCAGTTGTTCGTGTGGTGGCGATGTTCTTCTTGGTCAACTTGGTGTAGTCTCTACCGGTGATTGCGCTAGCGAAGAGAGGGAACTGCTCGTCCGTAATGCCCGCCACCTTACGGGAATACTCGCGCATGTGTGCCTCGTCAGCTTCGATGACCGCCAACCACAGTTTGGCGTAGTTGCGACGCAAATCACGGGGGATATCACGGTACAATCCATGGTCGTAGAGGATGATGTCGAAGTTTTGACCGCGCCGGTTAGGGTTTTTGCGAATCGCAATATTGCCACCATGAGGATCGCAGTGCAAAGGAGCATTGTCGCCAAAAATCATCTCGTTGAAGATATGCGCTAGGGCAGCGGAGACTTCGTCACGATCAATATTGTTGGAATCCAGGAACTCTAGATCATCCGGTCGACGGCCGGACAAGAACTCCATGACGAGTATGCGCTTCTGAGCCCACATAACTATGCCTATTAGTATACAGTAACTGCGTTTAAATGAAGCTAGCACGTACCTTCTGGGATGACAAGCGGCGCATCTGAATGTTCCTTAAAGTACTTGCTAGCCCGCCTCGCATTGTCGGCTTCCATCCTAAAATCTAGTTCTTGTGGCAAGGATAGGTCCATTTCCTTCGATAACCACTCTAAATCATACTCAGGGAAGAAGCGCTTCAGGGTGGAAAAGGTGAATCTGGTCAATGCCAGATCCAAGGGGGCCCATTCCGCTAATGCTGGATGCTGCACCTTGACTGCAACCCTCTGACCTGTTTCCTTCAGAATACCAATGTGAACTTGGGCAAGGGAAGCGGCGCCAATGGGCTCTGTATCGAAACTTGAGAAGAGCTCGTCGATTCGACGGCCGGTGTCGGCGATGAACATTTCTTCGATTGATTCGATTGAGGAGACAGGGCATTTATCCTGAAGCGGAATGAAGGTTGTAGTCCATTCTAATGGCAGCAAGTAGCCCATACTACTGAGGTGTTGTCCCAGCTTAATAAAAATGGAGCCATTCTTCTCGAGAACCCTTAGGGTCCGCTCTGCGCAACGCTTGTGACATGCTTGGAGTTCCTCGTTTCGTTCTTCGGGTGAGGATGTTTCCCGGTTGAGGGTTACTCGATAGCTTAAAGCATTGGTATGAGCATAAGAGACAGAAAAAACCGTATGATGTGCATGCCTCCTACTTACTCATTGATACACACGGCCAATGTGCCAACGACCCTCCCCGTTCTCGCCGCAGCACGGTAGAGGTGCTGAACATTGTCTGAGAATGCCACCACTCCGATGAGTATAGTTCCACCAACAACCGTATACGTGATCACTTTCCTCCGTGACCATTCCGACCCCGGTGGTTTCCTGCCATTGCCGCCGCTCGCCTTCTCCGCCGCACCAAACAAGGCAGAGGTCTTGGTTGAATAAGAAGCGTGTGGTATTGACGCTACCAACGGTGCTCGTGGACGCAGTTGGCGGGTGTTTCTAAGGGCTCGTGCTGAGTTAGAGACTGGTTTGTGAATAGACCAGGGGCCCGATGCGCGCTGGAAAGGGCGAATCCAAGAAGTAGACGAGGTATATCGGAGCACCGGCGCAGGAACAAAATCGCATGCCCGCAGCGGAGCGCGGAGCGCCGCCCTCATACCGTACACAAGCAATGCCGTATGAGAAGCGACCGCAAGTCGAGAGGGATAGTGGAATTGGCAATAGTTCCAACGGTATAATATCAGGCCATTTGCGTCAGGGGGGCGTCACGGGGAAGAAGGACTTGAAATTCCGTAGAATAATTAGTTTGCTCCACCATCGGACTCGCCGCTTGCCGCTTTTAGCTCTCGTCCCGAAGTACTCCGACTATTGCACATTACCCTAATCCTTTCGCCTGATTGCTCGAGAGGGGCTGAATCTAGTATATCCTTTCATATTAACAAGTCCTCCTACTCATGACTGCAGGAGATAGCCATCACTCCACTATATACATAGACCAGTCAAGCGGCAGATCGGACCATCTTCCTGAACTACTGTGCATTCGAACAGGAGTCCGAACGATACCTCTGCATCTGCTATAACTCAAACAAAGAAACTGTCTACGTGAGACAAGTTCTAGACCAACAAAGGAAGAACCCCAATGCGCCATCCTATGCAATGCATGCCTATGAAGACCCAATATACCGCAGACTTTTTAGCGTTTGAGAATCCGCAACCCCCAAGGACCAAGGAAAATAAGCACAAGAATCCAGGAAAGAGAATGTGAAACACAGGCCAGGCGTATGTTTCAAGCTCATGGCGTCCACTCGGCATCTGTTTGTGTTGTATGTCGACGTCGAGGTAGGATTGACGGCCGACGGGATACTGAATTTGGCCTTCGACCGTCTTCTTCAGCCAGAAGGTCGACATGAGATAGCCTGTTGGACACCCGCGGGACCCTGTTCCTTGACACACCAGGGTTCCCATTCAAGCCTGCCGTAAGGCCCGAACTGACCCCGTCTCTACTTCCAGGTCGGATCACAAGGGCAGAGCCACTCAGGGCATTTCGAGGGTGCCGTTGGCTCTCCCGACCTTCAAAGAACCCTTTGGACTGACTACCTCGATTGATCTGTGGCGTGGACGGGGCAGACTGGTTTGCCAATAGACTGGGAGGTGTAGTGGACGTACTTCGCCGTCGCACGCCAGGTTTGCGTTTACCCAGGCTATAGGCTTCGCTTTTCTCGTTGGATTGAATTAATTTCCCAGCCATATCCCTGACGAGAATGGCAGGATCGTTCTCTAACTCCCTGATCGCATCCAGCAACCCATATTTGGCTAGAAGGCCACCCTGCTCTTCGCTTGCATCGCAGATGCTGGATATTATCCGGAGTAAATTCAACCGCACTGCTGCTTTACTATGGTGTAGTTTCTGCCCTATTCTGCTGAACAGGTCTGGTCGCGCGAGCGTCGAGGCAATGGGGGGACTCAGTCTAAGAAGTTTTTGGAGGGGTTCAAGGAGATTCTCAAATGCATTCGCCTTTGATATGGTTAAACACCTAACAATGGAATCTGTAAATGAGGGTTTATCGGGTCGGTTGTCGAGGAGGTGCTCCTCAACCTTCGCTGTCTCTTCTTGAAGCCTATCAATCTGTTAGGCTCGAGCACATTCATTCCAATACAGCCGGGGCAAAAATACTAACCATGTAAAGATAGCGTCTAGCGCAGTCACTTGCCAATATGGGTCGGAAAGTAAAGATATATAGAATGCCAGGCCCTTGTTGCGCCACAGCTCACGGCGGCCAACTTTGCCAGAATGAGCCATGTCGCAGAGAATTGGTAGTGCGAATTCCTTCAATGGTCGTTCGGTCTTTACTATCTTTTGGAGCAGCGGAACAATGCCATTCAGAGCGGCGTCCTCCTGTCGAGGCTTGTTTAAGCGGCACATATTGTAGATGGTATTTAGGATCTGGTTCGAAACTTCTCGGAAATGGGGTCGTTTAATGGTAGACCTCAGCAAGTCTGTCAACACATCGATGGCATTCGAATTCTGTAGGGAATCCAGAGTGGTCGATAACATAGACAAATTTTTGATGAACTTCAGCATGGTTATCTGGTGAGCAGGAGTCATGCGCTTTAGTTCTTTAAGTACCCCTAGCGAGGATGTTAGTATTATTACGATCAAGACTTGGAGGAGTCATTCTTACGGTGTAGGACCGTTCTCTCAGCAACCATCTCTTTTACATGATTTTCGGCCTGTGAGAAAATGAAGAAGATGTTCGCAATACGACCCTCGACAGTCTCCGCCAGCTCCCCTTCTTCGTCCAATACCCGACTCAGGACTAACGACAGAGGATCCAATACCGAGTTGCGGGACAGGATTCTACAGAAGTCATTCTTTGGAGTTGAACCCTAAAAGAATTTGTCAGAGCATCCCTCCTCAAAGTGGAAATGCAGGTACATACCTGCAGCTCAAAAACGCTCCAGATACCGGTCACCCCAATTAATACTAGATCACGCTCATCTTCGTAATCATCTTCCAGGAACTCGACTAGAACATTCAGTCCTCCTGCACTGACGAACATTTGCAAAGTGAGAGTGGAAGTTTGATACATCTGCTGTACAAAGGTTGCTGCTTCAAGTCGGATCTCTCGTGGGTATTTTTTCGAGGCGAACTCGTTAATGATAGGAATACCTCCAACGAAACAAAGGTTTTCTTGTATCTCATAATCATTGTAGATGATCTCGTTAACGATTCTCAATAGGCATAAGATGATGTCACGCCGACGGCACATGTCAAGAATTTCAAGTATTGGCAGCATCCCATGTGCGCTGATGATGATGTTTTTAGTCTCCGGGAGATCATAGAAAACGTTCAGCAGTTGTTCGGAGATCTCGCCAAGCACGTCCTCATCCTGTGAGGTCTTTAATGAGCTAACAAGACCCTCGACTTGACCACGGAGCCGTGCATGTTTGTCGCGTGCAATATTCGCTTCCAGGTCTACTTCGTCTAACCCTTCCTCAAGTTGAGCAAACGGATCATCCTCGTCATCCTGGTCCCCAAGCCAAGAATCGTTTGACAGCTTAGAGTTCAGCATCAATGTGCCTTGGTCAGAGCTTCCCTCGCTCTCAGACTTGTCCAGAGTTACTTGATCCGCACCAAGAATATCAGAGAAATCTTCGTCTCTTTCATTTTCAGCGAACCTTTGTATCTCTATGGCTGATCGATGGCGTTTAACAGATATCCTTTTCCTAAGCTGAGGTTGGGGGTCATTCTCATCTTCAAGGGAAGGTTGATATCGGACTACTGCGTTCGTGGGCGAAAATACTAGCCCATCCATGTCGTCATCGGCTTCCTGTTAAGAGGTTAGAGAAAACTTGCACATAAGTCACTCCGATAGCAAGGACGGTTTTCATGTTTACCTGAAAAAGGCCAAGCTTCCGGTCTAGGACATCTTCGTTCGCCTGTATAAGATCGGAGTAATCCTCTACAGAGTTCTCCTTGTAGTAAGAAGCTGGACGGGGTTGTCTCATTGGAGGTACCGGGTTCTGTGTCAGGATGGGCACGTTATGCATGGCGATGGCGTTGTTATTGATCGGGTAGCGTGGTTGGCTTTGCGGCTGTGTATCTTCGATGCCAACATGTTTGGTTGAGAAAGGTCGTATGGTTTCCAGGGGATCTGAGTCTCCAGACTGCAGCGAGGTTCGAAAAGAATCATCGAAATCGTCAAAATTTTCTTCAGGCCTTAGGACTGTCCCATCCAAAGACGCAAAAGCCTTGAGCTTTTCAGAGGAGAGCATTCCTCCGAAGTTATCCTGTGGGCGAAGGTGAGGTAGTTGCAATGCACTAGGGGAAATTGCAGTAGCGAAATCATCATCCCAATTGTCTTCTTCGATGGAATCGGGCGACCTGAACCGATCTGCCACATTTCTGGAAATCGGAGACGCCTTCGTGGGCGTATTGCGGGACGATGTTAGAGGGGCTGAACCTTGGTAATCATGCCTTAATGGCCTTCGCAAAGTTCCTGCTTCGGGTGAACGCAGGGCTTCGTTCCACTCTTGGACACTTTTGACTGCCTCCTCATACTCGGTTGACTTTTTGGGAACAACCGAATCAGATCTGCGGGCGTTGACAATCCAGGGGTGTTTTAGAAGCTTCTTCGCAGAAACGCGGAGGTTTGGGTCTTTCTGGAAACACTGCATTAAGAAATCCTTGACAGCCTGTTGTGTTTGTTAGACATGAAACGGCATTTTCACAACAGGGGACAGACCGGAGAGGCGCCTTGTGGAAGGGGAGGATGATCATCATTGACAATGCGGAAAAGAGCCGGCATTGGCTGGAGATTGTAATAGGGGGGTTTCCCTTCCAGCAGCTCAATCACAGTACAACCAAGACTCCAGATATCTGAAGCTGTTGTCGCACCTGACAGTTCAATCACTTCTGGGGCCATCCAATACGGCGTGCCAACAACACTTGACTCATTGAGCCCAGTAGTACGGCTAGCAACACCGAAGTCCGCAAGTTTGACAAGGCCTTGCTTAGTTGTAAGAATATTCGCGCCTTTGATATCTCTATGTATGACACCTTGCTCATGGAGATATAAGAGACCGTGGAGGACCTGCGACATATATAGCCCAACCAGGTTTTCTGGGAAACGGCCAAAATTCTTTGCGATTGAATGTAAGGAGCCATTTTCACAGTATCTAAGTCTGTCAGCAACCCTTGCCCTGAATCCCATCCGATGGAGGCTCAGTAAACGTACTCTAGTATGATGTTTAGAGTTTCAGCGGATTTTACAAATCCATGGTACTTCACGATGTTTGAGTGCTGCAGTCGTTGAGTTAGTTGTCTACCAGGGTTCAGGTCTGCGTAGTCCTCGATCATTGGAGCTTACATCCAAATTCTTCAGAAGATCAATTTCCAGCTGCAGAACTCCAGATTAGCAATGCGTACATCAATTCACTGCCAGGATGCTCTGATCTTACCATAATGACACGTAATTCACTCTTTGGGAGGTCGGCCAACTTTATCTGTTTTACGGCAACAGTTTCCCCAGTATTCCAGTTCAGTGCCCTGTAGACTGATCCGAATGCGCCTTTACCCAAACAATCACCCAGTTGCTACCGTATATTAGCGTCAGTAACTTATTCCACTACTAGTAGGTTTCTGGAGCCACAGCCATACGTAATCCTTCAGTTCTGCAACATCCTTGGCCGTGGTTTTCGCCACTCTGTCATCCTTCGGCCTGTCATCTCGTTTTGATGGACTGGAGCCGAGTCTTGCCTGTCGTGCTTTGGCGGGAGCACTTTGTGGTTTAGAAGATGGAGGGCCCCCTCAATCCCCCCACTGCATCGAGAAACCATCATCCAGACCAATATGAGTTGACCCCCTCGTCAGATAGAGTCTGGATTCACCGATGTCGACAGATGATCTCGGACCTTGCGGTTTCAGGGGAGGAACGGGACGGCTGAAGGCAGGAGCCAGGCGATCGGAGAGTATTGTTCATATCAGCAAGACCTGTCTTTCGTGGCCACACATCATTAGTGAGAGTTAACAATAGAACAACAAAGCACATTGCTAAGATGAAGGAAGCTAATAATGCCGGAAAAGACATGCCATGGGCATAGCTTAGGAAAAACGTACAGATAGACTACTGCTCTCACACCCATCAAGCCGCGTTGAACCAAGCGCGTCACTGCACACATCAGATTCCTGCAGCTTTCTTTGAGGTCAGAGTTTTCAATCTACTCGATAGATAACTGCACAAACAGTCTCAGAATAGTGACCAAAAAAGAAATTATAACTTACTGCTGTGTCGGCTGAACCAAATGCAACAAATTGAAGGGTGTTTTGAACTTTCCCTTTCTCCACAATTCAGGCCACCACCTGTTTGGGGCATGACGCAGTGACCGCCTCTGTATCTCCGATCAGTCTTATCGGACTCCGAGTAATGCGCACTGCACTGTTCTTTACATGCTACTTTTATTTTTTATGACTGCTGTCACGGTTGTTACAGAAATACTTGAAACAGAAAAGAAAAAAGAACGAAGGATAAGAAAGGAGCCATGCCGTTCATGTATTACATTTTGTCTATCTATGTAAGAGAATGGTCTTGGTTTCAATTCCAAGAGACCCTTGAGTCTGTGTCAATCATGTACAGAGAAGTCCAGGCGCTGCTAACAATGAAAGGGTATCTTCAATTACACAACTATCACGACCCAGCGGTGTTTCCCAACTGTTTCTGCGCCTCTCGAAGATGACGGAGAACATCCGAAACAAGGTAAAGACTTCCAGCAATAACCATGGGACCGCCATTGGCCTTGCTAGAGGCCCAGTTGATGGCAGCAAGTATGTCGTGATCGAATGATTTCACATCTCCAATTGCAGAAATAGACTGCACACTGGAGGCTAATTCCTGGGGATCATTTGCTTTTACCCAAGGCATACCGTCGACGGGCCCAAACGCAGTAGTTGCAACATTATCACCAGCCTTGATGATAGGGTGAAAAAGTGAGGTTATGTCTTTTCCACGTGACGCTGCGATGACCCAAGTGACAGGACTCCCTTGCGGTCGAAGCTTACGGTCCACATATTGCCCGAGGACTTCGGCCGACTGGCTATTGTGAGCGCCATCAAGGAGGACAGAGTCTGTGCGAGCAACCATAGGACTCAGCACAATTTCTTGTAGACGTCCCGGCCACTCGACACGAGAGAGCTGGGAAACCAAAGAATCAGCCTTGAGGTCTGGACGGACTCTCCGGAGGGCCAGCTTTAAAGCAGAGATTGCGCAACACATATTCGCCCGCTGGTGAGGCTGTGGATCAAGTTGCTGGAAAAGTTGACTAAGCATTGGAGAGTGCTCATCCGGCGCATCGGGACGAGTGTAAATAGCATCGATGTCAAGTTCCTTGATACGCTCTTCAATAGTCGAGAGGGCTGCTGGTAGGTTCGTTCCATCGACTACGCACGGAACCCCCCGCTTCAAGATCCCGGCTTTCTCTCTAGTGATCTCTTCCAGGGTGTCTCCAAGCAGCGACTGGTGATCCAGACCTATTTTAGCGATGACCGATACAAGCACATTGTTCAGTATGTTCGTAGCGTCCAGCCGACCACCCATGCCCACCTCAACCACACCGATGTCAACCCGTTCATGGTTAAAGATCTCGAATGCCGTGGCGGTTAACAACTCGAACTCGCTTGCCCCTATGCCCAATGTTTGGTCCCGTAGCTTGATCTCTTCTTCAATCTGCCGGAATAAAGACTCTTGGACCACACTCTCACCGATGGTGATGCAGTCCCATCGGTCTATCAGGTGAGGTGAGGTAAAGCGGCCGCAGCGAATTCCACCGGAAGTCAATAAGTGAGACAAGTAAGCGCTGATCGAGCCTTTGCCATTTGTTCCAGCGATGTGGATGGACTTCCAAGTCAAAGGCGTCTGCTGAAGGAGACGGGATATGCGACTAAGACCGAGCTCGATCATTCCTCCGATTATATGTTTTCTGGCAACTAGTCAAGGTCAATCTCATGATCAGGAGTACCTCTCTGAGAAGGACGACATCTGTGTGGTCGCTAGTTGGAAGGAGTTGGAAGGAGTTGAGAAGTGCATGGCTCTTCTTTAAAAATCACTCGGTATCATTTCGCGCGGCTATCTATCGGATTTCCGTTGAGATAAGAGCGGCGTTTTAAGCCGGGAAACGGGAAACTTGCTCGAACTCCGAGGCTGACCGTACTGAATTGTACGCAGATGGGTATTGGCGCCACTAATGGCGCCACATCCCAGCCTCTCCCTCTTGAAGCGCGCCAGACAGCCTAAGGCAAATCCATTTGCCTCCGCTTTTTACCCTTACAAGGAAAATCAAATCTCCCCGTTTCTCCATCAACACAACGCTTCGTCGCACCCTCCCCGCAATCGTCGCACCTTCTTTCTTTCAATTTTGCGACACTCTTATCGTGGTTCTGGCGTGGGGTCTCTTCTAGAGGGTATTTTGGACACTAGTCTTCGTACAAACAGCCTTGGGTCTCTCGTAGTCATGGGTATACCGTAAGTTTGTCCCATTCTCTCTGTACTTGGCCTTATTCGGGTCTTTACGCGGTACTTATCGTGTATGGTACAGCCATCGTGACTAACGTAATTGCAGTATGTACCGTGAGCCTTCGTCCACAGAGGCTGCAAAGAACAATCCTGCCAAAGACCCTTGTGCTGCCGCACGTTCTGCAATTCGTCGCCAGACCACTATCCGGCGCCCTTCTCGTTACAGTAGCTCCGCTTTGCGCAGCGCGACTTTGCGCTCGCCGTTTCCCCGTCCACTAGCGGACGAGATTGAACGTGAAGCGAATGGGCTCTCGCGCCATGTACGCTCTCCTATCCCGAATTCCGGCTCCGGTGAAGATCCATTCGATCTGACCAATGGTCTGTCGGATTCCAGCGCAAGAGAAGCAGGCCAGCGCCTACTCAACGATGTTCTTCGTCACAGCCGTCCCGGCCAGAGATTGAGGATACCGCGTAACACTGTGTTAGACGACATATACTTGCGCGCAGCGGCTGGTGACCATGGGGGTGCTCGACAGGAACAAGATCACCCGCCTCCCTCCTTCACTCCTCGATTCGCCCCGGCAATTGCGTACCACAGGACCGCGTCTCCTCAGGCGCCTCCCGACGTCCGTTTGTCGCCATTTCCTCGGTCGGAGACCTTGGGTGGAGATGTCTCGATTGGTTCGACTATTCCTCTGTTACGGCGGGTTGGTCAGCGGTCTATTAATCAACCAAGCCGCCCAAACTCTCAGACTATTGTCGACGGCCTCGGAGATCGCCAACGGAGCATAAGCCCAGATGGTGACAATGCGAACGATGCTTGGGAAACGCTCTTAACTACCATCACACCAGACACCAATCTTCCTAGTGCAGACTCTTCGTTTACATCGGCGTCTGCGGGCACAAACACTTCAATGAACGGGACGGCACGAAGCTCGGCAACTTCTTTCGGAACACTGCCAAGTTCCATGGACTCAACTGCCGCAACTGTGCAAATGGTTCTCGACCCTTATCCGGAGTTCCTCAATCCGTGTGACTATTCCACTTCAACTGACTCCGAGTCCGATTCTGAGGCAGAGGCCACCCAGAACTCATTGTTTCAATACCACTATCGCCGAATACGTGAAATCAACGCCAGGAGGGATGCCAGGAGGCGTGCACGTAATGCACATTCGACCATGAGTAGCCAGCCTCCGCTTCCTGCGATCTCATTAGCTATTTCCAACTCTATAGACCCGGACCTTCAACATATGCAAGCTATTTTGGACCGGCTTGCCCGTCGAGAGGATGTCCCTGATGACTTGTGGACAGCAGCTGGACTGTCTCGTACCATCGGCCACGGGGTCAGTGCAAATGACGGTACCAACAATACTGATGCAGTTGATGGGCCGTCCAGACAGCAGCAGTGAAGGCCTTATATACTTTCTTTCTGATTTTGTGTTAATTATTGAGCCTTTCATCTCCATTTTGTGAGGGACAGTCATGTCGATGTAAATGGGTTAAGCGGGAAGGATATCACGTTCGGCGTTCTTGGTGTCTTTCAAAATACACGGTTTGCGGGTTGCCTTACAGTGGCTGGAAGCACTTATAATGGGATGATCATTTGTTTATTTCCCTATATCTGTTCGGGTTACGTTGATTTTGTTTTTTTGAAGTTTAGCAGCCTTTTGTTTCTTGGGGTCAGGATGGAGGCAGATCTACGGACAACTTACGAGGGGCGTTTGTCTAGGATTCTCGTCACCTTTGGCATTCTGCATACGTGGTACATAACCTGCATTTCCAGGTTGTACAGCTTCAGCCAGAAGTAATTGAACAGTGGGCAGCGCTGAGGATCGCATGAACTAGAATTTAATAAGCCTGTTGTATTAAGATGTAGAGGGTACCTGAATTGATTCCAAAGCTTGGTCTAGTTTGACAAAGGTATTGGTTTGTACCTGAGATAAACATGATACTGGATGTGGTAGTGGTGCCTGTTCACGTACCTGTTGTAACCTCGTGACTTGGGGATGGGAAAACGACCCCTGTGACGTAGGGCCGGTATGTGCGTAAGTTACCTACGGCGTATGATGCTCACCTCTCCGGAGTCCGTACAGATCGCAAAACCCCACTCCGATGACAAGCCCCGCCGACTGCCTCTACTTATCTCAATGGACCACGGGGCTTTTCTTTGTCCATCACATCAACTAGTATCATCGTTTTGCGTTGGATATTCGCACATTGATCCCAGAAATTACCTTTGAAGGCCCTGGATCTGTTTTGAATGATTTAGCCTCCCCGTTATCTTGTGTCTTTGATGAAGTACTTTGCAACGTTTATCTGCATGAGACACGGCCCGGGGTATTTTGATTGATTTCTATACTACTAGTATCTTCCCTTACCCCCAAATATACTCTGGATCTATAGATATAAGGGCAATTATGGATATCCAGGTAGACAGATTAGTCGATAAGATCTGGGGTAAGTCGCTCGGCATGCCGCATATTGCACAGCAAGCACGTCTAGCCTTGAGATTTCGAGGACGAAAAAATTCTTACACCGATGGATTACTAATGGCTCTTCTTAAGGTAAAACGCAATCTACGCCAGATGATTCTCGGTTGATGATAGCAGTGAGTGGCATACCGGGGTCCGGAAAGACAGCACTTGCCAGCATGATGGCAAGTCGCATCAACCAACTCTACACAGCACAGCATCTCAATTCACCGCCTATCGCGACTGCTATCCCTATGGATGGGTATCATCTTACGCGGGCGCAACTCGCTCAAATGCCCGACCCGGTGTATGCTGCTGCGCGACGGGGTGCAGCTTTCACTTTTGACGGGGAGAAGTTTTTGAAATTAGTCCAGGCTCTGCGGGAGCAGTTGACGCCGGAGACACAAAGCTTGTACGCGCCAAGCTTTGATCATGCAGTCAAAGATCCTGTCGATGATGATATTGAAATCCCCGCCACATGCAGGGTTATTTTCTTCGAGGGGAATTACCTAAGTTTAAATAAAGAGCCATGGAATAAGGCGGCACAACTGATGGATGAGCTTTGGTTTGTGGATGTTGAATTCGAAACAGCTCGAAAGAGGTTGGTTCGGAGGCACGTCAAGGCGGGTATCGCGAAGGACGAAGCCGAGGCAGATAAGCGAGCGACAGAAAATGACCTTGTGAATGGCCGGGAAATCGTGGACTATAGGTTGCCCGTTCAGGAGATAATTACAAGTCATTATGACCCTAACTGGGACCGGTGACTGATGGGTCTTGGTGGATTTTCGGTGCGGGTATGAGGAATAGATGACGGATTGAAGCATGACACATCTTAGAGCGTTCCCTTTTGTTTTTGTTTCTTAAAGAACACTTCATTGAATGGGGATAGGGAACATTGCATAACAGTAGGCACTATACTATAATTAGACGCATAGGGAGTCTGGCCACTTATTAGTTTAGCTTACTGCTAGCTGTTGGATAAATTTAGGATAATAAAAGGACTGAGACAATGTTACTTGATACCCAACTTGGCATTGATAACCATCAATTTAAAGGTGCAGAATGTATTCCCCACAGGTTGGTTTTTAGGGGGTTGCATTTGGCATACAGTTACAAGACCCTTTTCCTAATGTTTTACTTGCAACGTTGAATTTGCACCGGATTTCTAGGTACAACTTACTTGGTAAGAAACTTGATCTACTAATGTTCTAGACTTGGGCTTTAATTAATACTGAGGGAAGAAGTTTTGAGATTACATGCGTTACAACCGGATGGCAATACTGCCGGGAAGCTCCACCAATCGAGTCCCGATACTTAACCACAAAAGCAATCCGCAGTAGAAGGACCCACTTAAAATAGATAGTTCCGTACAGTAAAATTTGCAAGGGAAACTGATTGGAAATGAGAACCACCCCAGACATGATCTCAGGGCCAGGAAAGGATCGGCAGGGTCGATGCCTGATTGGGTGAGACAGGTCCCCTCTTCACTTTCTCTTCTTCCATTAAATTTCCATTCCGCTGCTCCAAACTCAAGATCATCTATCATTCTTTCCATCGCTTGTCTGTCACTCTTTATCGCAAGCTGTCACTCCTTTCTCCCCCCCCCCCCCCCAGTCCGTTCTTTAGCATCAAACTTGTTTTAGTCAGTCTTTTTACACAGCGCCCCGAACTCGACAGTTCAAATTATCACCTGTACCCCTAAACGCTCACTTTCGCCGTCATGTTGTTCGCTAAGTCTGCTCTTGTCTTGTCTTTTTTGGCCCTCGGCAACATTGCCGCCGCTGCAGTCCCTAGGGCTTGCCTTCTTGACGCTCTCAGGTACGCTTATACTAGAACCAGAAAAATGTGAGCTTGGGAATAGCATGGTTTCTGACAACTCGATTAGCAACGAGCCAAGCCCCGGTGATCTCAAAGCCGTCTGTGTTGATAAAGTGCAGACCAAAATCGAGAGCTTGTGCAGCGATGATGACAAGCAGGACGCTCTGAAGCAGTTCGCTGACACCTGTTCCTCTGCTGGACACAAAGTCGGTATGTACATCGTAGACTGCTGATATCGAGGGCGTGATTTGTAGTGCGCTAACATCTCTCTCCCAGTCGTCAACACCTCAACCTCCTCGAGTGCCTCTTCCACCGGTACTTCCACTGCCGATTCCAAATCAAGCAGCTCCGGCTTTGTCACTGCTACCGCTACCAGCACTTCCGGCTCCGGCTCCAGTTCCAGTGCTGGAGTTATCCCTACCTCCGGCTCTGATTCTGATTCTAACTCTGGCTCCGGCTCCGGCTCTGGAACTAACCCCAGCTCGACCTCTTCCTCTGGAGTACCTCTTCATACCGCCAATGCTGGCTCGTCTGACAGACATATTCCCGCTGCTGCTTTTGCTGCGGTTGTCTTCGTCGCTTCGCCGCTACGCTGTAAGGGTGATCAACCTTCGAATCGTTCTACTCAGCTGCGCAGTGAGTATCGGGTATCCGGGTGGAATGACTTAATTCCATTCTTGTTCTATTCTTTGTACCAATCGTATATTGAGACCAATCTCAGTCATGTAAGGGGGTGTGTTGCAATAACTAGAAGGAGGCTGTATGCTCCTTCCCGGTAGATAGTAAGGAAATCAACCTTGTAACTATCTTGTGCTCCTTGATCTAAGCCCAGACTTCTTAGTGCGCCTAAACTAATTGATAGGCAATAGACCTGACGTCAGATATAAAGCTGAAAGAAGTATAGAGCACCGTATACCCGGAAATTCAGACTCTAGCGAGATCGGAGGTTCGTCAATCGCGTGGCGTGACGAAAGCATCAGAATCACGTGAGTTGGCGGGTTCTTTGGGGTTCGATGCTTAAGTAAGGGAGCCCCATTTACTTGGTCCAAACACGAAAATTCGCGTTGATATCCACCGTCAACGCGTTGTTGGTCCCGGCAGCATCAAATATCTGCTGGACTCTCTGCCCCTCCAACTTCTTTTCTCCTTCTCATCCCCTCTTCACTCCAGTCCTCAGGGCTTTCCTTATCATCTTAAAACGACTTTGCCTTTGTTTTTCTTCATTCCAGAGCCTTAGCACTTCATCCGTTCAGTAATACTATTATACCCTGTTTCTTATCATCGTCTTCACGTATCTTCCGAGCTCTCCCCTCTACACGTCAAAATGTTTGTCTACAAGAGAGGTATGCATTGATCTCCTTTAATTCTTTCTAGTTTCGAACCTAAGCTTGTATTCTGCTACCAAATGCGACCTTTGTCGTGTTTCGTCCGAAACCTTGCCACCGACTTGGACACCCGCTAACCAACCGTGATTATTAGACGGACGCAAAGAACGCGTGCAGTTCGACAAAATTACTGCTCGTGTGTCAAGGCTATGTTATGGTCTTGACCCTGAGCATGTTGACGCTGCTGCTATCACCCAGAAGGTCATTTCTGGTGTTTACCAGGGTGTCACCACTGTTGAACTTGACAACCTGGTATGGCTCTGCAGCTCCGCAGATAAATCGACGCAATGTACTGATGGGTTTGTGTAGGCTGCTGAGACTGCGGCATACATGACTACCACACATCCAGACTACGCCATTCTTGCTGCTCGTATAGCTGTTTCGAACCTTCACAAGCAAACGAAGAAGCAATTTTCCCTGGTTATCTCAGACCTATACCACTATATCAACCCAAAGAATAAGAAGCCTGCCCCGATGATATCAAAGGAAACGTACGAGATTATCATGAAACATGCCGACGAACTCAACTCAGCTATTGTGTATGACCGTGATTTCAACTACAACTTTTTCGGCTTCAAGACTCTTGAGCGGTCATACTTGCTGCGGATTGATGGAAAGGTTGCTGAACGCCCTCAGCACCTTTTGATGCGTGTTGCTGTTGGAATTCACGGTAATGACATTGAGAAGGCTATCGAGACCTATCACTTGATGTCTCAGAAGTATTTCACCCATGCCTCCCCGACCTTGTTCAATGCCGGTACCCCTCAGCCTCAGCTTGCTTCATGCTTCCTTGTCGATATGAAGGAGGATAGCATCGAAGGTATTTATGACACCCTCAAGACTTGTGCATTGATCTCCAAGACCGCGGGTGGAATTGGCCTCAATGTGCACCGCATTCGTGCTACCGGCTCCTACATTGGTGGTACCAATGGATCCTCCAATGGTATTGTTCCTATGCTCCGGGTGTTCAACAACACTGCCAGATATGTAGACCAGGGAGGAAACAAGCGTCCAGGTGCTTTTGCCATCTACTTGGAACCTTGGCACGCCGATGTTTTCGAATTCCTTGATCTCCGCAAGAACCATGGTAAGGAGGAAGTGAGAGCTCGTGATCTCTTCTATGCCCTCTGGACTCCGGACTTGTTCATGAAGCGGGTTGAAGCCAACGGCGAGTGGACTCTCTTCTGTCCTAACGAGGCCCCCGGCTTGGCCGATGTTTATGGTGATGAATTCGAGGCGCTCTATGAAAGGTTAGACATACTCCCCTCCGATTCCCAAATCAACCACTCGTACTAACAAGAGAGTAGATACGAAAAGGAAGGTCGTGGCCGCAAGACCATCAAGGCTCAGAAGCTCTGGTATGCTATTTTGGAAGCTCAGACCGAGACTGGAAATCCTTTCATGCTGTACAAGGATGCCTGTAACAGAAAGAGTAACCAGAAGAACCTGGGAACAATCCGCAGCTCCAACCTCTGTACTGAAATCATTGAGTATACTGCTCCGGATGAGGTTGCTGTTTGCAACCTTGCCTCTCTTGCCCTCCCTACCTTCGTTGATGCTGCCCGGGGTGAATACGACTTTGGCAAGCTGCACGAAGTCGTGCAGGTGCTGGTTCGTAACCTGAACAAGATCATTGATATCAACTACTACCCCGTCCCTGAGGCCAAGAACAGCAACATGCGTCACCGCCCCATTGCTCTTGGTGTCAATGGTCTGGCCGATGCCTTCCTTGCCCTGCGTTTGCCATTCGACTCGCCCGAGGCGAAGCAGCTGAACACTCAAATCTTCGAGACCATCTACCACGGAGCTTTGACTGCTTCATCTGACCTGGCCAAGGAATTTGGAACGTACGAGTCATATGAAGGCTCTCCCGTCTCCCAGGGAATTCTTCAGTACGACATGTGGGACCGGACCCCCACTGATCTCTGGGACTGGGACGCTCTCAAGGCAAAGATCGCGCAGACCGGAGTGCGCAACAGCTTGCTAGTGGCGCCTATGCCGACCGCAAGCACCAGTCAAATCTTGGGTTTCAATGAGTGTTTCGAGCCTTACACCTCGAACATCTACTCCCGCCGTGTCCTTGCGGGTGAGTTTCAGGTCGTCAACCCCTGGCTTCTCAAGGACTTGGTCGACCTTGGTTTGTGGTCGGACAACATGAAGAACCGTATCATTGCCGAGGGTGGCTCCGTTCAGAACATCCCTAACATCCCCGCCGACATCAAGGCCCTCTACAAGACCGTGTGGGAGATCTCCCAGCGTTCGATCTTGCAGATGGCGGCAGACCGTGGTGCCTACATTGACCAGTCCCAGTCGCTTAACATCCACCTCAAGGAGCCGACTATGGGTAAGATCACCAGCATGCACTTCGCTGGCTGGAAGATGGGCTTGAAGACCGGCATGTACTACTTGCGTACCATGGCCGCTTCGGCTCCCATCCAGTTCACCGTGGACCAGGAGGCCCTCAAGGTTGCTGATACGAACGTCGCTCGGGCCAATGCTTCTTTCCGGAAGCGGGCCGTGGGTGCTGCATCCAACACATACTCCGCTGTTCCTCGCTCCCCCACAAGCGAGACCAACGGACAGGCCAATGGCCTTGTTGAGCCCAGCCCACGTGCGGAGGAGGCCGCTAACGGCGACTCTCAGAGCGAGGATGAGCAGAAGACGAGCGAGGAGCGCGAGAATGACATCTATTCTCAGCAGGTTCTCCAATGCAGCATTGAGAACAAGGAAGCCTGCCTGATGTGCCAAGGTTGAACATATTCTATATAATGATTGGGTTTGCAAACGGCGTGCGGGTATGGATCTGATGTTTTGTTTGTGCGCATTGATATCATGAGTTTGATGGATACTGGGTCTTGATTTTGCTTCTACTGTTTATTTCATGGTTTTGCTGTTCTTCTATGAGTTGTGTGACATGCATGTACTCCAAAAACCTTGACTGGTTTGTATCTTTCTATTTTCAACGTCCTGGGACGGTCCTAATGGCAAAATGTGACTTAGATAGAATGGGTTAGGAATCTAACGTTTGTGATTTATTCATGGAGAGTCTTGTGCCATGCACTCGGGAACCGATGTGAGCCATGTAGTTGTAGGAGACATGCATCGCCTGGCTCCCCGGAGCTTGAGATAATGACTTGTGTAGTTGAGGTACTGCTACATTCTGCGCCGTGAATTGCCTCCCGTGCCGCCGTCATTGGGGGAAGGCAAAATGAGCAGTACCATTCAGTGCTACCTGCGACAAAGGATCTCCCGTAGCACAAGTCACACAAGTGACTCCCTTGTACTTTAGTACAGCGGTATACAGTCGAGCAAAAGAGGCAGGAACAAGATACCGAGAATCATACTTGCATAGTACTATATCATATCCAGGTCACTTCCAGTGGTGAAATACGGCCGGCGTTGTCTAGATCGGGAGCGTCTCGCTCATAGTGTTGACTAGGACAGGTATTGGTCAAAAGAAGGAGATTCGAGATTCATGCAACGCATATACTTCAATTCAACTACGTTGTTGTTACGTTAGTTACTACTCACCAGTTGATAATTCCCGTCCCACGAAGCACCCAATCATGTCAAGCCCGCCGTCGCAAAAGCCCTAGCGAGGAGAAAAATTTTCCTACCGCTAGTAGTGCCAAAAGAGGGGTTCCCTGCCCTAACCTCTTCTGCATCGAATTGTCCCCATCATTACCAGTTCAATACCACTCAATACTACTAGCAGACTAGACAATACCCTAAGTTTCCCGCTTTGAACCCGATTAGTCTCTTTCCACGGTGAGTCCCGAGCACGACGCAGGCCAGATGTGTACCCGGGTCTAGACTTGGGGACTTCTGCTCTGACGTATGACTTTGCATTGTCTTTCCGAGTTGTACAGGGTTGTTCGTATTCCGTCGGGCTTGGTCCTGGTTGTGATGTGTCGTCCTGTCAAAGGGAACACATTCACATTCTCTTCCCCCGTTCCGCTTATTTGGGGGCCTGGTTGGAATGAGATGAGACTGGGGCTGGGCAACGAGGAGTATTATATCAGATGTGACATGTAGGGGAGGGGCTTTGTACGAGGCTATTTTGTGATGTGGTTTTATTTGATATCATTTTATTGTCTCTTCGTTTTGGATTCCCCATCCATGCCCTTAAAGCGGGTAGTATTATGGATTCGGTGGTTTTCCATCTAATCTTCAGGGACCGATAACATAGGGCTAGGGGGAGTAGGGACCAGATTCAATCTATCGGGCAACGATAGATTAAATCTGGGCCTAGACTGGTGGAGTTCGCGGTGTCCACAGAACCACATCTCACTCTCACAAGACATACATGCATGAGCGGGCTTGATGACAGGATACCGAGTACATGCCGACGTCGAACCGGGTTCTCCTCTTTTTTCCCTTTTTTCTTTTTTTTTTTGCTTTTCCCACTCAGCTGTAGCTATCGTAAGCCGCCGTTCGAAGGTTCTGGTCTGAATCGCTATGAAACCATGCAGGGACACAGGCTCTCCCCTCTTTGTGTGCCACAGTTTCGACTCTCGCCCCTCCAAAGAAAGAAAAAGAAGGGGGGGTAAAACGGCACTACGAAGGCGTTGAGAAAATGTGATCTTGCGGGTGGCGTTGGTACCTGAAAGGACTGAGTCGATTAAGTCCAGTGCACGGGTGGGGGATGAAGACTAAACAGTCAAAACGCCCCATTAGGGTTGCATCTTTTTCTTTCCACTTTTCCATGCTACTCTGCATAGAGCTTAGAAAGAAGAGGTCTGGACTTCGGAGGGCCCGATTGTATTCACGAATGAGAGAAGAAAGAACCCCCCAATTGCACAAAGCCGTTGCGAGAGACAGTGTGTTGTCGGAAAAGGATGATATTGGCCGGCGCATTGACATCCACGTATCCATGTCAGAATGAGCCGTTCTCTTTTTTATTTTTTTTTTCATTGTACCCGAGCATCCATGACTTGCTGACAGGGGTTGGGTCAACCTCTGCTCGCTTCCTTTCGCTTCAATTGTTCATCCTTGGACCTAAGACAATTGACGAATTAATGTCTCTGAAGAAATCTTTTTGTTTTGGGGGTGGACGTTTCGTCAGCCGAGTCCTCCTCATCAGATTCAAAAAGAAAGCGTCATCGAAAAGGCTGACAATGTCATTTCATTTTCGTTTTCATTCTCATTCTTATTTTTATTTTATTCTTTATTTGATGTACTTCTCTGGAGTCCACGAGGGCAAAGCCACACCGGAAATAGGTGCAAGGCCAAGAGTGTGGCGGAGGTCAGGTACCATCGTCATTTCGGACAACGAGCGAGGCGCCGATCCCCCCTGGAACTCCAAGGCAAACAAAATGGACAGAGACGAGGAATGGAGGAGGGACCGTAAGGGGGCAGAAAAAAAAAAAACCTAAACTCAATACCAAGCCTACACTAAAGCGAGCTAGACGAGATTTAGTCGCGAAACCATGCTTGAAATGGGCATAGATTGTACACGCTGTAACACCGGCGCCAATCTTGCACCGCCAATCAGTGAGATTCTCAAATTGGTCGGGGAGCGGGTACCTGAATTCAATCAATCACCAAACTTCGGATGGCTCGGACGCTGCTGCTTTTGAACCACACGTCATCCGGTTGAGGCTGACAGGTCAAAGTGCCGGTGAGCAATGAAGCATACATGTGTGCCTTTCATGGTATTTTTTTTTGTTCCGGATTTTCCAGATCAATGCAAGGGGAATGATCACAACAACATAGTACATACTCCGAGTACTATGTACATGCCTTGGTAGGATCAGGGACCTTCTCCTCCATTGGGATAACTCTCGGGCCATCCCAATCAGACAACCCAAAGTTAAGATGATCCCAATCCAACGGTTGAGGTTCAGGGCGAGTGGAACCGAGCAATCATTGAAAGTGGGCGAATTTGGAGCCAGTGGTGAGGTGAGTGAGCCATTGATGGTTGGCCGCAATATTTAATCCGTCCCATGGGTTCACGAGCTGTGCGGTGGGTCCGGGGCTTGGACAACAGAGAGATCCACTTCTATCTGATGAACATGCAAATTATTCGCTGGGTTCCTGAACAGTCCACTGCGCATGCCAATGATATCCAGAAGAAACGGAAAAATATAAAATATAAAAAATGTAAAAGTCAAAATAATAAATAAATAATGAAATACAAAAAAAAAAAAAAGAAAAGACACAGAGACAAAGGAATTAGTCTGGATGCTAGTCCTATACGAGTCGACTACTACTACTACTACTACTACTAAGGTACTAACTAACTAGGTGTACCTACCCGAGGAGGGAAGTCACCATCCATGCACCTCGTTTTAAATACTTGGGTCTTCCCTCCCTTACCGGCTTCTCCCTTCTTTCTCTTCCCTTCTCTTCACCGATACTCACCACAGTCTTCTCTCTCTTAGACAGCTTTCTGTCGTTCCTTCCTTCTTCCTTCCAACGACACTCTCATTCTTTCTGAGTGTTCATCCATATCCCCAAACTGCTGCGCAGTGGGTTAAATTGACTCATTCCTTCAATTGAACTTCCTCGGCTCGCCGATCACAACCTTCCTTGAAAACCAAGATATCATACCTGCAATGGCTCCTCTGGCTAAGACTCTCGCCCTCGCCGGCGCCCTTTTCGCTGCCGTCGCCTCCACCGCTCCTGTGCAGAAGCGCCAGGATGTTGTCGTGAACACCCGCACCACTGTCGAATGGACTACCGTGACGGTGACCACGACCATCACCATGGACCAACCTGCCCCGACAACGGCTCGTCCCACTGTCTCTGTCCCTGCATCCTCGGCTCCCGTCGTGACTCCCGAGCCTGCTCAACCCAGTGAGGTTCCTGACGAGCCCGAGCAGAGTGAGGCCCCCGAGCCCCGGCAATCTGCAACCATCCAGCCAGTTTGGACTCCCACCCCGGTTGAGCCGACTACCTCTACTACTCCCACCCCGGAGCCTACCGAACAGCCCGAGCCTACCCAGCAGCCAGAGCCCACCACCACCAGCGCTCCTCCGGTCGTGGTCCCGACGTCATCTAGCACTACCTCTGCTGCCCCTCAGCCTACCGCCAGCACCCCCAGCGGCGGCGGATACACCGGTAGCTGCTCCAAGGGCTCCCCCTGCACGGGTCAGGTCACCTTCTACGACACTGCCACCTCTCAACTTGCCCCTAGCAGCTGTGGATTCACCAACGACGGCTCCACCGAGGACGTCCTGGCCCTTCCCGTCGGTCTGATGAAGGACGAGGACTGCGGTCGCATGGTGACCGTTCACTACAATGGCAAGGTCAAATCTGGAAAGGTCGTCGACAAGTGCATGGGCTGCGACAGCACCTCCATTGACCTGTCGCGTCACTTTTTCAATTCGCTGGCTTCCGAGTCTGAGGGCCGTCTCTTCAATGTAGAGTGGTACATGGAGTAAATGCGTTGAATGCTAGCTTCTTCTGCTGGCTCTTGACTTGATTTTTGCTGCTTCACTTCTTCGATATCCATACCCCCCCCTTTTTCTCTTCTTCTTCTTAACCTTCTCCACACTCGTTTTCATACATATTTTTACGCAATTTGCTCCGCATGGAGTATTTGAGCTATGTTCATAGATCTTCTCGGGTTATTTAACACCACATTTACATTCGACACAAGAAGCAGCACGCAGGACGCATCGGGTCCATGACATGATACCACGATACTGGGATTGGCGCATTGCAAATTGGATGGAATCGGGTATTCTATCTGACGCGCATTAGGTAGCAATGGGTCGGGAACAATGATAAAAAAGTTTATTGCAAGTTCCACACATGCGCCTGACATGTGTCCGCCGTAGACTCCTTTTTTACTAGTAAAGCGAGTAGGGTTCTACAGAGACCGGGTCACGCTTGATTTCTTTCTGACTATATACTCCGTAACATGTGCGGCTGTGGTACTAGTAGATCGTTTCCATATAAGGTTCCAAAGTCAATGCTTTCCGAAGGTGGATCATTAGACACTCAACATTATATATACCAAGATATCAACCACGTCGCACAGAGATTAAACCCTTCTTCCCCAGTCAACTCAAACCTTCTCATAAAGCTTCGCCTGCTCCCGAACAAACTTTTCCGCATCGACTCCCTTCCGCGCCAGACCTCCCACAATTCTCGCCAACACTGCATCCTCACAGAGGGGCCTCTCCACATGCACCTCGCTGACACCGTCACTCCGCTTCGTAATACTAAACGGCGTTCCCGGCCCCTCACAGTTGAACTGGGCGTCTCCGCCGCGCAGGGAGCAGATCTTATTCGTTGCACATTCGCCCGTGCACTCCGTGACGTTGTAGCCTCGCGTGGTGCGCGACCACCACGCCTGGAAGACGGAGTCGTCCTTCTCCATTTGGGCTGTCACCTTGTGCCAGAAGGCGGGGGTCATTTCGACCGTGGGGTCGGTGACGGGTGGGGTCAGCAGGGAGCCGTAGGCTTCTTTGGCGGAGTAGTATTTGACCCACTTCGGTGGGGTGTTGGGGGAATTAGTGCTGTTGATGTCGGCCGTGTAGACGGTGTAGTCGAGCACGGCGAAGGTGACGGGGTCGATGTCGTAGATGCGGAAGGCTGGGGCGCCCGAGTCCGGGGTCATGGATGGGGTGACGTAGCCGATTGCGGTGGCGGAGTCGGCGGTGCGGGCGGTGTAGTTGGTGTACGAAATTTGGAAGAGGTCAGTGTGGGTGTGGCCGAAGAAGAGGGCGGCAATGCTGGCGCTGTAGCGGTTGATGATCTGGTCGAGGTAGTGCGAGTAGTCGTGCAGGGTGTCGGTGTTGCCGGTGGGGATGTGAGCGATCATCCAGACGCGCTGGCCGGCGGTCTCGGCGGCTTGCAACTCGGAGATGAGCCACTGGAGTTGGTTGTCCGGGTCGTATTCCATTGGTTCCTGGAAGGCGTAGAAGTTGTACTTGTAGTAGAAGACGCTGTTGTAGGAGATGATGCGGAGGTTGCTATTGGGGTGGACAATGGAGTAGGAACCGTGTTTGGTGGTTGAGCTGGGTGAACCCTCGACCAGGCTGGACCAGTCGCTGGCCAGGGCATCGTAGGCCCATTGGGGGTTGTGGGAGGCCGGGACTTTGTCCGAAGGGAAGAGATTGACCGGGGCTGTGTCGTGATTCCCTAGGGCCGCGTAGACGACGCCCAGTTTCCCCAGGTTAGAGTAGGTGGAGTTGAAGCTCTGGAGGACTGCGCTCTGATTCACCAGCCAGATGTCGTGTGGTGGAACGTCCCCCGTGTAGATGGAAAACGTTGGGTCGAGGGCCGCGATAGCGTCCATCATCGAGTCCTCGAGACGAAGTGGGGGATCGCAGTGATGGTCACCCCAGAGCCCGCACGGGGTCGAGGTATTACCGGGGGCGTCCTCCGGGGTGAAACTACGACAGCAAATAGGCTTGGTGCATTGTGCATTGGCTCCGGGGGTGTACTGCAAGTCAACGTGCGTGTCACTGATGTGTGCGACCCGGATCGGAGAGTGACCACTCGGAGGTGGACGAGTGGCCGAGGATTTGGCCACGGGGAACGTGAGGTTGTATGGCCGAACGTCAGGGTAGTCACAAAGACCGGCGATACTTGAGCAGAAGGTTTTGGACGTATGCGAGCCGACCTTCAAATTCTTCAGGGTGTAATAAACGGCCGTGCCTTCTTCTTTGATTGCGCCCTCACAAACATCGTCATCCTCGATCTGGCATGAGGCATTAACCGACGTCCTTTTAGACTTTGACTGGTGATGGACTCCGTCCGAAAGCATTTACTCACCCCGGCCAGCTTACATGCGTCCGTCACAACATGTTCCAATGCACTTTGACCCAGACCAGCTACTAGTTTGAGTGCCCCCAGCAGGCCCTACGAGAGTCACGAGAGTCAGCTCATCTTGCTTTCCGTGGATAGTTTGGTGTCCATCCGACATACCTCACAGCCAGCACAGGTGACTGCTCCTTTGAAATCGTCCCAGATCGTGCCAGCCAAGTCGGCCTCGGCATTAGCATGAGTGCCAGCCAGAGAGGCCAGGGCCGCAAGGAAGTAAGCTGGTCTCATGTCCCTAGTTTGATATGGGGTCAAGATCGCTGACCACACTGCAGCTTATCTTCCGCTGTCTCAAGTCCTGTCCACGAAACAGAGCAGAACCTGCCGGCTTTATAGCGGGGTGTCGCAACGACTCCAGCCCCTGAGGCAGCGCTTCCCGTCGGAAGCCGACTGATCGTCCTGAAGAATGGGACGTTTCATTCTGGCCTATTGCCTCCGGGCAGAGAGCAGAACTCAGGGCAATCGAGGGGAGACGAGCCCATGTGATGGCTTGGGTTGCATCGCGAGCGAGCGGTAGGCTCCGTAGCGTTCTCCGCACCTAGATTTAGTCACAAAATCAACGCCTGACATGGTGGAGAAGGGCCACGATGGTCACTAGTCAAGCGTTAGCGAGAGTTAGTCGAAGTATGGGGGACCATTGTACATGGACAGCGTTACTTCATTCTTCAGGCGGTCGTAATTGTCTCTGTGATATGAAGATCCTCATCAATCGAACTGATAGATCTGATCGAACTGCTCCTGATTTGCAGCCGAGGCATTGTCCCTTTCAGGATGCCAAGAGCGAATCCTGCAGTTGTTCCAACCCCGTCCTATTTTTGTCCATCAGAATCAATACTAGTAAGTTTATTAAGTGTCACACGTTCCCAACTGCACGGTAGATCCCCCTGTACGAGAGGGCTTATATTCAGATCCTTTCGAATTATGCGTGGGGCATGTATGGGAAATGGACTTCGATCTTGATCGCAACAATGGTTCTTGTGATTTCTTATCCTGGTGTGGGGGGGCGGAAGAGATGAGAATCCCATCGTTACGGATTGGGTTGCATGCATGCGAGGGATGAAGCGAAAATAAATTAAAAAAAAAAAAAAGTGGCTGAGTCAGAAACGACGAGCTGATATGAGGTTAAAAAAAAAGGAAAGGAAAGAAGACCGGAAGCAGAACGGATGAAGTGAAAGTTAAGTCATGTATGTCTGTATGTACATACATACCTCCGAACGACAAGCCCAAGACATACCTTCTTTTCTCAAGATCGGCCGCTTCCCTTGACTCTCCACGGAGTATAAGGAAGAACTTCAGGTTACCAGTCCAATTTTCCCAAAAGGTCCATGGCAAACTGGAATTCCAGTCATCGTCACCTTCGTGAGGAGGCTGCAAACTATTGAAGACAAATCAAAATACGCAGGATCTCATCCCTTGGGCGAACAAGACCCACGCCGAACCACACAATTTCTTTTCTCCGCTTTCTCCTCATCGTCAACCTTTCTTCCTCCTTCTCTGACGTTGTCTCTTGCAAATTCTCACTGTCTGACGACTGCGTGATAGACTCTTCTTTTGGCGGATTTTCTCGGGTAAATTGACCTCGATTAATATTAATATTGCCAAGTTCAATAACGACACATCCAGTCTTTCCAGCCTCCGCCCCTCCAACAAGCTTCCTGGTCTGCGTGTCACACACACGCACGCACGCACTCTCTTACTCTGTACTCGGTCAATTTTTTTTCGTCATCGGGGATGCCCTCTTTCTTTTCTCGATTCCTCCGCATTCGATGACCATGGAGCCGTTTCAACCTCGAGAATTAACGCTTACCTCTCTGTCGAATTCTCTTGCGATAAGTTCTGAATGGTCGTGAAACACCCTTGGGTTGTTACTCTGCGATCTCCGGGGTTCACGCGAGGCTTCGTGTGCTGTGGTCGCGGTCGCTCACCATGGAGGACCGCAGACCAGAAGTGCTGGTCGTGTCCATTGTCTTCTTCGTCATCGCCTCCGTCTTTGTCGCACTGCGCTTCGTCTCGCGGGTTTTCATCGTTAAGAAAGTCGGACTACATGACTATTTGATGTTGTTGGCATGGGTATGTCTGGTGTCTCGCCCGTCGGTTGCATACGAATGCTGGAATTCGAGCGTCATCGCATGGGGGGAAAAGAACAGACGAACGGCGAAAACAATGACTGACGTTACATAGGTCATCGATTTTGGCTTCTCATTCTCCCTCTTTTATGCCACGAGGAAAGGCCTAGGCCTTCATGATGACGACATAGCTCTGAGTGACCGGTACAGCCTCAATCGAGCCAATTATGCATTCACTGTGCTATATGTGAGTTGTCCGCTCAGGTCCGGTCGGCTCCGATTGCTGATTGAATAGAACCCCGCGTTGATGGCGGTCAAAACCTCCATCCTCGTCTTCTATCTCACTCTAACCCAAGGGGAAAGGGTTTTCCGTTGCGCAAATTATGTGACTCTTTTTGTCGTAAATGCCGCCGGATTGGCGCTCACACTGGTCAACGTCTTTCAATGTCGTCCGGTTGGCGCGGCCTTTTCCTATCCCCTGGCCCCGAATGCACACTGTACCGATATCCTCACGCTATACCTTTCTTCCTCTCCGGTGAACATCATTACCGACCTGGCCATTCTTTTCTTGCCAAACCCCATCTTAACTCAAATGCGTCTTCCGCGGAAACAGAAAATCATCATTGTCATCACCTTTAGCTTTGGTTTCTTCGTTGCAGTAGTTGATGTTATCCGCATTGCCTACCTTCAAAATGCAGCTACATCGCGCCAAATCTTGCTGAGAGAGATCCACCTGCAGGACGCTAGCGGTGACGACCTAAATTGTATGTGTGACATGGCTTCATCCCTCAACCAACTATTTAACGCCCCATGCTGACCTGACAAGGGTATGCTTCTCTTTCGTTCATGTGGTCGGTGGTCGAGGTCAATGTGTCGGTCATGTGCGCCTGTGTGCCTAGTCTTAAGCCTCTCGTAGCGCGAATCGTTCCAAAGATGATTCGGGACACGGACGATAGCACGACCGTACCAGATGCCCCCACGGCTGGGCCTCTGGATATCCCAGATATTCCAGATGTTACTGAACCTGCGCCCCTTCCAACTCTCCCAGGTCCCAACATGCGACGACGCTCGCAGTCCGCTAACCATAGTAAATCCTCCCCGTCAGGCAGTGGTAGCAGTGCCAGTCGGAGAGAGACGGATGGTTCAATAGATCTCAGAGAGTTCCTGATGGCCAATAACCCGCCTCCTCAAGATGCGGAAGCGAATACAACTATCACCACCTCATACCTACCTAGTATCACCTTTTTCGACTTTGTCAACATGAAGAAACCGGCGAATATGCTGAAGCTAAGCAATAAGGAATCCATTGCGCCGATCTCCCTAACGACGATCTTGTTTTTCCTGTGGGGATTCGCTTATGGGTTGCTGGATATTCTCAACAATCAATTCCAGGATATTGTTCGTTTAGACGCCTGGCGATCGTTGGGCCTGAACGCCGTTTATTTCGGGGGTTATTTCATAGGCCCACCGCTGGTGGGCCGCACGGTGCTGAAACATTGGGGGGTTCAAGTCGACTTTCATCACAGGCCTGTGTATTTACGCTTGCGGCACTTTGATATTTTGGCCCTCAGCTGTTCTGACTTCGTATTCTGCCTTCATCGTCTCTAACTTCATCGTTGGCTTTGGATTAGCAGTACTGGAAACCGCTGCCAACCCGTTCATAGCGCTGTGTGGGCCCCTAGAGAATTCGGAGATCCGATTGAATATCTCGCAGGGTGTCCAAGCGATAGGAAGCGTAGTTTCGCCGCTCTTAGCGAAAAAGGTCCTTTTCAAAAAGGTGACCGACGTTTCTTCTCTGGTTGATGTTCAATGGACTTATCTGGGCATTGCGTTATTTGACGTGCTTCTGGCTGTGGCTTTCTATTACCTACCAATCCCAGAGGCATCAGATGAGGATCTTCAAGAGCTAGCAAACCGGCGTCGGAACGACAACATGACCCTGGTCGCTGGAATTCCGGTGGTCTGGTTGACCCTAGGACTAGGAGTGTTTTCACAATTTTTCTACGTCGCCGGACAGGAAGTAATCTCGCAAAGCTTCAATGCTTTTGTCGAGGATGCCTACCCCAAGTAAGTTGACGGTTCACTTCGATATTCCTGGACGTTCACTTATTCGAAACACAGTTCCCGCCTTAGCTCCTTTGATTATCTGACCATCGCCCATTCTATCTTTGCGGTTGGTCGTTTCCTTGCCGCCTTTCTGCAATGGTTCTTGAAGCCACGATGGATTCTGCTTATATCGTACATTGGAATGATAGTATTCTCCGTACTATGCATGAAAACGACGGGAATCGCGGCGGTTACCATGGCTCTCATGGTCTACCTTTTTGAAAGTGGCGCATTTAGCATTATATTCGCCATCTCTCTCCGCGGCGCAGGCCAACACACAAAGACCGCTGCAACGCTTCTGACGACAGCGATCAGCGGAGGTGCCTGCTTTCCGTTCGCACAATATGCAGCCAGCCTCGCTGGGGGCATGTCATTCTCATATAGTGTCCTCGTTGCTGTCTTCTGCGCCGGTGCCATCTTTCCGGTGTACTTGAACCTAGTACCTGCTGCAAAGAAGCAGGTTGACCCGGTACCAAACGAACACCTCCGCCGCCCACGTCGCCACCGCTCTAGACCCAATATTGTCCAGCGCGAGAAGGAAAACCCTTCTGTGGGCGGAGTCTATTCACGACGGCGAAGCGTCCTGTCGGACCTGCTGCCAGCGGTTACCCTTTCTGACCAATCGTCATCTCAGCCCGACTTGGCTAATAATGGGCAACCCCGTTCAGCTGCCCACGGCGGCCTTCAACATGATTTGGCCCCCTGGCCTGAATCGTAATGCTAATCTCGCTTTCGACTGTATTTTTCTTTGCAGTGTTTCTACTTTTTGTGATACCCTATTTCGCGATATTATCATTTTAATTGACGGTTACAGTTTGCTCTTGCTTTCTTAGCATAGCGAGGCGTTGAGGGAAAAAAAAGTTTAGGGTATGCTTATGCAGGGTACCTCTTGAGCTAGACCAGTGCATATACCGGTTGACTGGGCCGATGTTCGGAGTAAATAATTCTATAGTTGTATATGCCCAGAGTCTTTGAGTAATGTTATAGATTCCTCTATGAAGTGAGGGTCCAACACATGAAGTATATACCATATAGAGGGAACAACAATGTACGGGAAAAGAACTCTCGTGTATATAAATGAGTTACACGACCCTACGGCTTTTGAATATGTGAATCAACACATACTCTAGTCAAGTCCATCACGCATTAGATCGTATAATATCGCAGCATGTTCCTCATGTGACTAACTAATGCTCATCCAGACCATTCTCGAGACACTTCAAAAAACGACTCTGGATGGTCTCGTTTCTTTGGTTGCTTGTCGAACCGCCTGCTGGGCAAGATCTCGAAGACTAGAAATAAATCCGGTGATGGCTTGCAGATGGGCGGCTTTATCAGCTCGAGAAATTTGTCTCAGGAAGACCCGCTCAGTCGTGTGCTCTGTTACTGTCAGGAGTTGCGTATCACTCGCCGCGCTCTCAGCACGTGGATTCTCCAGCAGGTTGCAGAATATCGTGAGCATTGCTGACATGGGATAGAAAAGGAGAGTCCTAGATGGCCAATAGAGGGTTAGAAGAACGCTGTGTGTAGTTGGTATAATAAGGACGAAAGCCAAGTTCTGTACATATAGGTCTCTTACCAAAAGCTCCCTACACTCACGAGTGATTTGGAACAATGCAGAAAGAGTAAAAGGGATCGACTAGCTTCCACGGATAAAGTTAGGCTTAAGCGTAGTCCGTCCATCATCCCTGCCGGTGTGGAAGTCGAACGCCACGCTTCGCATCGACTTCCAGCTAGGTGGATTATGTTAACGCAGAAGTAGTAGTTTAGATGTGTCAGCACGAGATACATCGTGTCGACTCGCTGGTCTTCGGAGGTTTCTTTTGCGAATGATAGTTTAGGTCTCAGATTTGAGGGCATAGATATTCTCCAGAGTTCTAACTCTTCGTCTAGTTCCCGGATTGATCGAATGACTTCAGCGTCGTTTTTCTGTAGTCCACGGTGTGAGTAGAGAGTGGTGAAAATTCGAGATTTGACCATGCTAAGCCGTAGATCGATTGGAAACAGAAGGCTGTGTGCATTTTCGATCGCAGAATATGTCATCCCAGACTGCAATTTCTCGGTGTAACCGGGTGGTAGTTGAAGATCGCAATCTTCATCCCTGAGACAGTGGCTCTGCCCAGTACGCAACGAAAGATCCTTGTCAAGGGCATAACAGAGCCAAAAAAGGTCGCGAAGGTGTTTCCTAGTCGCTTTGTCTCTGGAACCACTGACGGTAGATTCCGGCATCGCGCATGGATCTCCCATTGTGTGAGCTCCCAGAGCGATGATGAAACGTGATGAGATCGAATTATAGTTTGTTGCTGTTTGCAGTTCGCCGGTGAGTATCCCTAGTATTGACTGGGGATCGATCAAGATGAATGGATTAGCGCAGGTTCCCAGTTTGAAGTTTGAAGCTTCCTTTTTGATGAAAGATAAAACAGCAAAATAGAATGGATTTCAGTACCAGTAGAAGAGTTGTCTGCAATGCATCCAAGTTGAGCGGTTCTTGAAGCAAGGATGGCAAAAGAGCATGGGCTTTCATGGCATACTCGTCTCGAGGGATAGGAGGCGGCTTAGGGGCTGTACAGCGAGTGGCAGGATGATCTAAGCTAGAAACCAACGCGAGAAAAGCGAAGATGCATGCTCTTGAACTAGGAGAATGGGCTCTTGTATCGTGGCCAGGCAGCGAATAGGCTGCACGTATCGTCTGGGAGAAGAGTGACGAGTTGATGACAGGAAAGATTGCGCGGATGGCCGATGAAGTATACATGTCCAGATACTGCTTCAGTACCGTCCGCGCGGGAAGCCCAGAAGGTGTTGACACGGCCTCATGGACACCATCTAGGTTGGGGGACGTAGAAGATAGGGGTGGTTTCTCCCATGGAGCATGGCAAAGGTTTGGAAGAGGAATAACAGTCCCGGTTCTTGACTCAATCCAGCGGAGACCCTCTGGGAGAAGACTCGGTATTCCTATCTGCGGAGCAATATTTCCAATCTTCCAACCTGCAAAGTGAATGATCCTGGGGGACGGCAGTAGCGGATATGCTTGCTCTAGTTGGACAGGCTGTTTTTCGGGTGGTCTTTCTTCATTAGCAAGTAAGTAGGCGATCCAATGTATGAAAGGATAAGATGAAATGAACAAGGTGATGGGACAAGCAAGTACAAACCTATGGCTGCAGCTTCTGCTCTGCGTTCATCGATGCGCCGAATACGGTCGATCAAGCTAATTCTTTGGCTACTATGAGGAATTAGTTTCACGGTTGGTCATGACTGATTGTCAAGGAGATCGAAGGAGGTTGAGAAAATACGAGTCTATCTATACCTGCCATCCTGACGTCGTCTCTTCGAACGCCAGTCTGACGAAAATGTGCAGACCATATCATGGTGAATGCACCAGTTACATTGGGGACCAACGCGGTCACATTTGATCTGATCCGAGGCAGTTGTAAACTGTGGCTATATAGTGTAGTATGGATGGATGTACCTTTCGTTTGTAGCACGCATCACAGGCCGTTACCCTTCTGGGAACTGGGTCCTCCTTGGGCATATCGAACGAACTCACCTGGCTGGTCAATTTGATTGGACTTCACACCGAGATAATTATCAAAAAGTTTGAAATTAACAGGAAAAGAAAAAGTATCCTAGAGACTTCAAGTTCCACTCCTTAGGGGCACATTAATTCCATTAATTACCTCATGGCCTAGTCCGGAATTGATACAGAGCCGCTTAGCTAATCATCTCCGAGTAACGTGACCATTCGGCGATTGCCCTTGCGTTGTATAACTTGTATTGTTCTACACGAGGGGACAGCATTGCAAGACGGGCTACGTCTACAGCCTCAATTGTTGTATGCCTTCCTGTTACCAATACGGATATCCCTGGCACAGTGTCTGTATGTTCATGGTAAATTTATGAGCATTGCAGTCGAATATACATCCACATGGGATCAATTCTTGTAGACAACATGGGTCGTTATGTCTATAACTGGGCTTCTTGTACCAGTTGATGTGCATCCCCAATTGGGTCTGACGGCCACGTGAAGGCGAACATATCCCTAGGCACCTCCGCGTCAGACACATAGGAACAGAGCTCCTCCAACATCTCCGCCCGTCGCTCGTCGTGGGTTTTGGACATCATCATCACGGTCACCGCGTGCTTGTACCGCATCCTGTTGTACAACTCCAGACGTTGCGGGATCTGCTCTACGGTCATGTCCTCCGTCATCACCCCACCAAGCGCTGCCGCATCTTCGAATGCTTGAGCGGCGCCTTGTCCTTGGTCTGCGGCGCACCCAATCAGTATACAAAGTGGAGCACGAGGGAAAAAGCCAATTGCACGCATATAAAAGTTACTTACGAGGTAACATGGGATGCGCAGCATCTCCAATCAAAGCCAATTTGCCTCTCACGAACGTGGGAGCTGGCCTGCGCGAAGCCAGGCTCCACAGCTTCAGATCTTCCGCGAGGCGACACATCTCCTGAAGCTCTTCGCCAAAATCCTGATAAGTCTCTATCAACTGGCTCAATTTGCCCCCATCAAGCCATGATGAATCTCTGGCGTTCGTCTCTTTGCCCGCAGGGTGAATACCCGCCACGTTCAGCAACTGGCCACTCCGACAGGGATAAACCACGGTGCGTCGGTCATGCGCCGCGAAGACATGCACGCCATCAATGCCTGTCTTCGCCATAAGTGTAGCAGTTAGTGGATTGGCCTGTATCTTTTCCATGGATACCAAGAAACGAAAGCAATTCTGGCCGGTACTCTGACGTCCTTTGTTTTCTCCGACGATGGCCTGAACGGTGCGAGACTGGCAGCATTGGATAACTTTAGTATCAGGTAGGTTATGTAAATCATGATTCTTGAAGGACAGCCTACATGAATACCGTCAGCCCCAACAACTAGGTCAGCGACATATATGGTACCATCCTCGAGGACCACTTTGCCGGCCTCTGCATCCTGTGGACAGCAAATATGAGATCAGTAAGCGCCACCTGGTACAATCAGGGCCATATTGGGTGCATAATGACGTACCACTGATAATACACGCGAAGAGAGGCGGATGTTGATTTTACGGCCATTAGCCTCGTTAGTGGCTATGGTGCGCAGGGCATTATGCAGGTCAACTCGATGGGTCAACAGCCATTCATCTGAGGTATTTAGGGCAATCTGACGCTCTTTTGTCACCTGGCCTTCCGGCTATTCACAGCTACGCCGGCAAAAACAGAAACACCAGCAGTAACTCACAATGGGGGTCCACATGAGATTCCCAGAGGCATCCCACACCTGTAATTTCTTGCAGTAGACGGGATGTAAACTTTTCAATTCACATCCCCAGGCCTTGAGAATTCGGGTGGCATTGGGCGCCACATGGATAGCAGCGCCAACTTCGTTTAGAAAACCTGACTGCTCAATAACCTATGAACAGGATTAGTCAACTCCACCTTCCAAGACAGTGCAGGATACACAGCAAGATAGGGATCATCAGACCTGGACCTCATGGCCTGCACGGCTCAATGAAATTGCAGCACCCAGGCCAGCGAGACCAGCGCCAACAACGACTACATTGATAGGCATGCTGTTCGTGGACTATGCGCGATATCAAAACTCAAAGAGCACAATCAAAGAGTCAAGAAAAGATAGGAGATCTGAATAGATGGAATCAACCCTTTTTCGCTAACGGAGAGGCTAATCTTGAGGACTTCGGCATCTTATAGACGAATCTCAGACACTTTTATAGTTTCTTGGAAGCGACAAGGACTAGGTATATAGCATGGAATTCTTCTCCACTACGATCGATGGGCGATGATCATCGTCTCAGGGTGGGGTTTCTCGTTTGAACGTTTGCGTTGCATTGCCCATGGCTCAATCTGGCAAGGATATGGACACGTTATGACTGAACGGTATTAGTAGTTCGGGGGGCATATATTCCACTCCAGAGTATGCCCTGATATGAACTGAATACAAATAGACAACATTAACAAACAAGGCCTTGAAACTGCCTGATTCCGACGACAGATCCTTGTCTTCTTTTGGGGGGGAATAGATGATCGTCGTGTTCAGTAACCATGGACTCAATAGAATACACTTCCGGCTCCTTGCTCGAGGTCGGATTACCGGCAGGCAAAGGGTCCTTTCCTTGTCGCTAGTAGCTTCACTAACGAGACGATCTTGGATCCGATTAGCAGGCAGTCCGACTGCCTAATGCCACCCGCTTAGCTAATTTGCTCCGATTAGCTAAGCGGACAGGGAGGTTGCCCTAAGAACAACGTCCTCAGTTGCTTAGACTCAATGGGTCCAACAGCAATCATGGCCTGGGCTTACGCCGGAGGTGAAAAGGGAAACCCAATGAGGCGCAGAATTAGGATATAACCTACAGCTCGGTGAATTATCCGCTCGGATGTCGGACGTCGGTTTATCAATGGCAAATCCATGGGCTATATTAGGGGAACAGTCAGTCCCCTATGGGTTTCCCTGGTCCTAGGCGGCGCCTTTCTTTCGTTTTTCTTCTTTCTTCTTCATCTCATTGTATGTTAAGAAGTCAATCGTTATTTACCCAAGGCTTCTTCTTGCCATTCTGTTTCACTGGAAAAACCAATACCATCATCAATCATACCGACAACATCCCAATCCTTCAGCCAGCGACATGCAGCTGCCAAAACCATTCTTCGGTGCGCTGGCAGGAGCGTTTATTTCTCTCCAGTTGCTGTTTCTCGCGAACATGTGTTATCTGTATGGTACTGCCTATCACGATTCGATTCGATTCAGCATGATGAAACTTTTGTTTATAGATTATGATCAGGACGTGATAGGCCAGTCCGTCATGACAGCGTACGATCAACTAAAAAGCCCGTCATTTCCAACCATCCAGCGACATTCCGTAGACGAATACCCCACGGAGCAGGATGTGCGAAATGCTGTTTGCAAAGGTCACTATTGGGGTGCCATATATATTCCAAAGCAAATGCTTCCTCCCGCTTAGCCACGGCGGTTTCTTCCGCAGAAGCCGCTAGGGAGTATAATAACTCTCAGGCACTGACTTATATCTGGAACGGAGCTAAATACTCTGCCTATGCCCAAAGTGTGTATTCGATGCTGGTTCAGCTCGTCCATGGTACAGCCGGTGCTTATGACCAGATGAATGGAACTACAATATTATCCACCGCCAATGTCTCCGACCCATACATCGCCAAAACTGTGCTGAATCCTATCTCAAGCTCTTCAATTGATCTCCGGCCTATTGCTCAAGGAGTTCGATTCTACTACAACACTGTTTCCATGGTCATGCCCATCCTGCAACAGTTCTTTTTTCTCATGGCGCTCAACGGTATTTCCGCACAGTTCAACATCTTCTCCGGCCTATCACTAAAGCAGAATATCGCCCTCCGGCTGGCTTTCTCCATTTGCCATACCTTCATCGCCTCCCTCTGTATGAGTGGTTACACATGGGCCTTCCGGGAGGATTGGAACGCCACGTCAGATCAATTTGGGCTGACATGGATGGCGATCTGGCTAGTCATGCACCTAAACTTTCTGATCATCGACGCTGCCACGGCATTCATTCCGATGCAGTTCATGTCATTCTTCATGTTAACCTGGATCATCCTCAATGTCTCAAGCAGTATCGGCCCCTTTGAGCTCTCGCCAGGGTTCTACTGGCTGGGCTATGTTTTCCCTGCCCACGAACTCTACGAGATCCTGCTTCAGATTTGGACTGATGGCTGCAACCCGCACTTATATCGCGCCCTTCCCATTTTATGGTCCGAGTGGGTTGTTGCTCTTGGTCTGTCTTTTCTTGGAATGAGGAAGCGCACTAAGCCGGCCGTCCCTGTCCAAGCGACCAGTCAAACAGCGAAGGAGGATATGGCCTGATTGATAGACCTGGTTTTTTTCCCCTCTTCGTTTATGCTTTCTACCTCTTGTTCTTTTTCTCCAGCTCCAATATATAGTTATAGAGAAGCCATATTTACCTTGGTTTGGTTCCAGTCTAGGACAAAACAAACACATCAGAAAAATTCTAGCCAGCCTGATGGAATCTTATGCAGTTTGCTAGCTTAATGATATGTATATACTAGTACTATACACACATATTAATGAGATGTCTAATCCTGTTTGATTGATTTAAGAAGTATCGAACAAATCGGGCTTACTTCAGTTGATGAAAGATTCATTTGTACAAAAGAGAAGGTGCGGTTTAGTACCATTACCAGTCACAGACTGCTTGATAGGGAAGACTACAACACTTAATGATTGTGATACTTTCAGACGAGAATTGGATGAAGAAAATTTTTTGAGTATAATAATATTTATTCATAAATCATGATTATGTGCAAGACATCAAACGATGTCTAAAATCATAATGGTTAAAAAAGGCAAGCAAGAACACCGGCGCCTCTATCAACCAACCGCGCTTAAACAGGCAAAAGGAACCAAGAAGGATCATCATCATAAACAAGAGGTATCAATGGAAGCATGAATCAAAGAAGCTGACTTGAGGGGAAACATTCGCAGAATGTTTACCACCAGTCACCCTGGTCCTTCATGGCAGCAGCAACCTTGGTGAAACCAGCAATGTTGCTACCGGTGACGAGGGAAGGAAGGACGCCCTCAGAAGGAGTAGCGTACTCGATAGCAGTCTCGAGACCGTTCTTGAAGCAGTCCTCCATGATACCCTTAAGGCGGGCATCGACCTCCTCGGAGGTCCAGTTGATGCGAGCAGAGTTCTGGGCCATCTCAAGACCGGAAACGGCGACACCACCGGCGTTGGCAGCCTTACCGGGGGCGTACCAGATGGCGGCAGCACCCTTGTTGGCCTCACGGTGGGCCTCGAAGATATCGATGGCGTCCTGGGTGGAGCCCATGTTGGAACCTTCGGCGATGAACTTGCAGCCAGCGTCGATGAGGGCCTGGGCCTCCTCGCCGGAGACTTCGTTCTGGGTAGCGGAGGGGAGAGCGATGTCGACCTTGCCGACGTGGGTCCAGGGACGGGCACCGGGGATGTACTTGAACTTGGAAGCGAAGGCCTCGGTGTTGGCAATCTCGGAGATCTGCTTGCGGTCGACCTTGATCTGGGCGATGGTGTTGATCTCCTCGGAGGTGAAGCTACCCTCACCGTTGACGATCAGGGAACCCTTGCTGTCGGAGAGGGAGACGACGGAACCGCCGAGCTCGATAACCTTGAGAGCGGCGTACTGGGCGACGTTACCGGAACCAGAGATGGCGACGCGCTTGCCGGCGAAAGACTCCTTGCCGTCGGTGGCGTGCTTGATCATGTGCTCAACGTAGTAGACAACACCGTAGCCAGTGGCCTCGGGACGGATCAGAGAACCACCCCAGCTGCCACCCTTACCGGTGAGGACACCCTCCCACTGGTTGCGGATCTTGCGGTACTGGCCGAAGAGGAAACCGACCTCACGGCCGGTGACACCGATATCACCAGCGGGGACGTCAGTGTCGGCACCGATGTGCTTGCAGAGCTCGGTCATGAAGGAAACACAGAAGCGGCGGATTTCGTTGTCGGACTTGCCCTTGGGGTCGAAGTCGGAACCACCCTTACCACCACCCATGTTCAGACCGGTCAGAGCATTCTTGAAGATCTGCTCGAAACCCAAGAACTTGAGGATAGAAAGGTTGACGGAGGGGTGGAAACGAAGACCACCCTTGTAGGGACCGAGAGCGGAGTTGAACTGAACACGGAAACCACGGTTCACCTGAACCTGGTGGTTGTCATCCTCCCAGACGACACGGAACTGGATGACACGCTCGGGAACGGAGACAACGGCGAGAGCCTTGCGGTACTCAGGGTTCTTCTGGAAGAGAGTGGAGTTCTCAAGGGTAGAGGCGAGCTCTGGAAAAACTTTTGTTAGAAACAATCCGACAAAAGATCTATATATAAAAAGAATAGATCAATGAAATATAAGTTTCAGATTACATACCCTTGTAGGCCTGCTCGAACTCGGGCTCAATGGGAAGGTTGGACATCTTGAATTTGCTTTGGGTCTCTTTTGAGAAAATATGTGAAGGTGAAGGTGAGGGGCTTATCAAGTATCGATAAGAAACCGGTGGCAAAAAGTGTCAATTGACCGAAGTCAAGGCTATTCAAGGATATTTAAGGATAGAGAGAGAGAGAGGAGAGAGATGTCTGGAGCAGTGAAGAAGAAAGAGAAGAGACTTGAGGCGAGAAAGGAAGGGAATTTATGTCCGGACAGATATCAGCGGAGGGCGGCGAGCACTGAGCCGGAGTCGGACGAGAAAGAGGGTGGGAATGGCCGACGGGGGAGGACAGTAGGAGTGGAGGTGGGCCGTTCGAGTCGATGATTCGTTGAATGAATTAAGGTAGGGGACTAGGCGGCTAAGCGGAAGGCCGGCACCAGCGCACTGGTTAACGTCCGAACTTCGGGTGTGTTATTCGATACTTTAAGGTCATCATAATCTGCCCGTTATCTATCGGCGGAAACCCGCCCCCCGCCAGTCCGCTTTTGGTTCCGGGAAATCCTCGTGGCTCGAAATTTTTTAGATGATTCTTTTTATGGAACGATATCGGGAGAAGAAGTCGGGCATCGATGCTGGGTTAACATTCTCAAAGGATGATTCCCTTTCTATCCCCTTAGGACCGTTAACATCTGGAATCCTCGTGGTTGAATTCACAGTCGGTCCATTGCACTGTGTACTGTACCATGTTCATTGCCAAGACCGGCGAATCCTCCAGTCCCGATTCAAAGTGCCGGCTCACGTGTATCCCGCTAATCCTCATTCGAGCGGCGTTCCTGAGGCCCCACAGGCTCCTCCATCGAATCTCTTATCTGATCATTTTACTCACTACCTTATCAGTAACTACTAACCGATTGCAGTATCTGACCACATTCACCGGGGCACTTCCTTCCCCCCCCTCAACGCTCAGACCAATTGGTCGGGGGCGCATGGACTACCAACCGCTCCCTTCCTCTTTGATATGATGGAGATTCCTCCGAAACAAGGATGAATAGTACGTACTATCATTTCCTCTCGCTAAAGGCGGGACGTGCTACACCGCACGCTCCAATTTAGTTTAACGTGGGGTGAGGGTCATGCGACCCCCGCCGTCCAACAAAGACGGGGTTTCCTCACGGCAAAGAGAGATGGTTACGATGTATCTCTCTGTCGTCTACGGAAGAATTATGAAAGCGGGTTATGTTGTCGTGCTGCTTTGCCCGACTGCAGTTCTCTCGGCACGGAGCGCCGCCCTCCGCCTCCATACCGGATACGGAAATCCGAATCGGGTTCGACCAATACAACTTCAGGGTTACAATGTTGGCCGATTCAAAAGAAGGCCACTTTTCAATTTAGCCAAACACCCATGGGATAATTGTCAATTCAGGATTGGGCGACGATATCCTAGAAGGGCATCGTTTAAATGAGTCTACGATATGGTATCTATAATCTGGGTATAGTTCTGCCAACCTGTATAGACCGAACTCGGTTGAGGACTCGGTTCGAACAACGTGTTGACATTTCCTGTTTCTTTGTCTAAAACAACCATCCGTATTCCGAAAAGGCCTCTGGGAGCAGACGACATCGCGTTTGGTTCTACTAATGCGGAGTAACTGGCGGGGTGATCCCGAGCCAGTCCTGACTCAATGATTCATGAGTATACGGGAGTACGTCTCCCTCGCATATCATATTCAGTAATATCATTACCTCATGTCTACCCCGGGCTTGATAACAGGAGCGCATCGTACATTCAACCCCGGGCGACTCAAAGTCTCAAACGAGGCTGTGTACCCACACCTGCCCTCTTAGTGGAAGATCGTCAGCCAAGCTCTCGGCTAATGCATCTCAATTATGGTTTGGGCAGCGATCAGGAATGCTGAATCCACGAATAGATTTGCTGGTAATAGACGATTATGCGAAGTCTCTCCGTCATAAATAAGGTCTGATAACCGCTCCGATAACGGCGTCCTTTCCATCCCCTCATTTATATTTGTCCTGTTGTTTACAGCACTACGTATGCATTCGATGGCTTTATACACAGCCAAGAAGATTTATGTGTGACCATCTCAGCACAGTGATACAAGTCGCCTCACTACATTGTCAGGTGTTTTTTTTATTGGTCGCTTTCATACTGCTTGTTACCAGAATTTTGGTGCTAACCCTTTGTTTTCTTTTCAACCCCAAGTTCATTAATCTCGTAGTGACTAGTACCCATATCGCAGCATTTTCTATAAGGAATTGAAAATTGGTCTAATGAATAACATCACAGTCTTACTCGTTCTTTAACTCAAGTAATTCCAAGGTTTTCGCCCAAAGTTTTGCTTCACCATCCGGGTTGTACGCCCACGGAGCATGGCCTGGTCCATGTCGCTTGGTCGGCTCAGCAGGTGTTGCGATTTGACAGTTGTCCAGATATTTTCCTCCGGTGCCTTCCAGCTCCCTCGCTACGGCACCCCAGACGCTAGTCGCGGCTCCCTGTTCAGGACTCTTCCAATACTTCTTGAGCCAGTCATCCCCATCCCACGCGGATTTCTGTTCATCCGAGACATGACGAAGGAGCTCGGTGGCGATCGCACCAGGGTGCAGACTCAGAGCATGAAGACCCTTTGAGCCATAGCGTCTCTCAATCTCATTAGCCGTCCAGATATTTGCTGTCTTGCTTTGACCATAGGCTTTCCATGGTTCATATTCGCCTTCTAAAGTGATATTATCGAAATGAACCGACGAAACCCGGTGAGCGCTGGAAGCGACCACGACCACTCGGGAGTGGAAACCAGCGGTTGATGAAGAGAGCAAAAGTGGCTTCAGCAGGTAAAAGAGCAGGAAATGAGCTAGATGGTTTGTGCCGAACTGCGTTTCGAACCCGTCCGCAGTCCGACCTTCGGGGCATGCCATCACGCCGGCGTTCTCGATCAGAATGTTCAGAGTACTCTCTCTAGATCTGAATTCTTCAGCGCATGCGCGGACGGATGCCAAGGAATTCAGATCTAGGTGGAGAAGATGGACTCGTGGACTATCGACGATCTCACTCAATGCGGTCTTGGCCTTTTGTAGGTCTCGGGCCGTCAGATATAGTGTCGCTCCTGTGTGGAAGAGGGCCTTGGCGGTCTCGATGCCGAGCCCGGATGAACAGCCTGTGATCATGATCACCTTGTCAGTGAGATCGTTTATCCGGTTTTCATCGTGGACGATTTGTAACGCGGTAGGTCGTGCATCGCCAGGTCCCTGAAGGGACTCATGAGCTTTGGCATATCTTGATTGTGTAGAGGACATTGCTGAATATATATTCTAGAATAGAAGTTAAGTGCTTGTTAGGGAGGATGTTGTGTTGATTAACAGAGAAGATGAACCAACCATCTATCCTAAGCAACACGAGCTCAATTTATATCACAATACTTTCCTTCTAGACTGTTAACTAAAACCCAAGTCGTACTGACTAAATTGCCATCGTTGCTTATTCACAAGAAGCTATTGGCGATAACCCCGATGGTTACTATACGCAGTCCGTCAGCGACAAACACTATTTGATTATAAATCCTTCTTAACTCCTTACCATTCTATTCTACTCACTTTGAACATGCCCCTATGTCCGCTCAAACTCCGGAGGGAGGGTAATCCCTCATCAGGAGATAATCACAGCCTTTAATTCCTTCGGCCGACGGTATGCCGATCGTTTCAAAAAATTCGGCCGAATCCCAGTGCATCGGACGCTAAATCAGATTCCAACTCTACTTAGTAAGACTACTGTATTTCTCAGGACCCAACGAACCAATGACAAGGGCCAATCCAAGCCTGAGAACACTTCCTTCGCCCGAAACAGTTTAGGTTCCGCCAAAGTATTTCGGACTTTGGCTACGTCATGGTCGTAGCTACTAGTAGGTTTCATGCTTCTTTGGGGTTCGACCTGAACGATTCTTCATAATATCTAAAACACGATGTACGAAGGCACTCTCATTCAACAGCAGCTTCGCTGTTACAGATCGCATTGCAATATGAAATCCTTGTCCGGAAACTAATTCCAACGTCAAATCTATCCGATTCAATCGCCGATCTCCCAACACCATGTCTTCCCCAACTCAGGTCCTCTTCCCATCCTTCCACCTGAAGATTTGCGGTGAACTCTACGCACCAGCAGACGGTGCCCCAGACCGCAAAGGCGCCGCCGTGGTAGTCAGCCACCCGATGACCGGTGTGAAAGAGCAAACCTCGACCGACCACGCGAAAGCTCTGGCTAAGGCCGGCTTCTACGCCCTCACCTTCGACGCCGGTTACCAAGGCGAAAGCACCGGCGAGCCCCGCGGCCTCGAAGACCCCCACCAGCGTGTCGAAGACATCAAGGCAGCCGTCAGCTACCTGACAACACTGAAGGATCAGGTGGACGCATCGCGGATCGGAGTGCTGGGCATCTGCGCCTCGGGCGGCTACGCTTCCTACGCCGCTCAGTCGGATGCTCGCATCCGCGCTCTGGCTACCGTCAGCGCGGCCTGCGTCGGTCGCATGACACGCAACGGAGGTGTGCATGAACACAACAAGGAGAATGCCCAGGCTATCGCCGGTGCCCTTCAGTTTGCCGGCCAGTGGCGGACTAACGTCGCCAGCGGTATTCCCAGTGAGGTCCCTGCCATGTTCGATGCGACGAATGTGGCGGACGATGCGGACCCGTTCTTTAAGGACGCTGTCGCGTACTATGGAACGGCCAGGGGAAAGCATGAGCGCTCGACTCAGAAGGTGCCCCCCGTCAGCTATGATCTTATGATTCCTTACGACTCGTTCAACTTCCAGCACCTCATCTCGCCCAGACCTCTATTAATGATTGCTGGCAGTGAGGCGCAGACGCTTCACTACAGCAAGAAGGCAGTTGAGACTGCGAAGGAGCCTAAGGAGTTGTTCGTTGTGAAGGGCAAGAACCACTTTGACATCTATGATGATCTGAATGAGTCTGGCCCCAAGCTGGTTGATTTCTTTGGAAAGAACCTTCAATAGACTTACCAAATGATATGGTTTACACGCGTGAATAATGGATATGGATCTTTAACCCTGTATATAGTTAACTAGGAATGAAATGGTTCGCCTGCATCGCAATGCGATTAATCGTTCAAGTTGGTAGACGCTAAGGAGAAACCATGTGTTCTCTTCTTTTGGAGCTCAGGCATTCAAGAAGCAGATTAGAATAACCATGGAGGTGATTTGGAGTCGTGATCAGTGATCACAGTGCACCGGTCACCATATCAGCAGCGATATTGCATATTAGACGGCGATGATCGAGTAAAACATGTCTTAGGCAAAAGCACCGTTTGAAGTGGTGGATGTGCCTTGGACCCCCAACGACCTACTCCCAGCTGGTGCAAGGGCATTGTAGGTACTTTTGAGAGAAACAAGGTATTTCAACTTAGAGCCTCCGAATGCTCAAGACAAAGATTACGGACGTCTGTAAAGTAACGAGGCATTAACACCAAACACGTCTGAAAAAACTGAGGAAGATTATATAGGAGAAAATTCACCAACATGATACCTGTACAGCCTCGGTAACGGCAGCTCCCCTAGGTAGCTCCAGCATGCCGAAGACTCTCCCGCACTCTCGACAGTCCCATCGCGACGACATGGATGCGCTGTGTCCATATCAGATTTGCCGCACGAAAGGGGTAGACGCGGATTCCGAAGCGCAGAAACTGGCAGAGTCCATGGGTTCCGATTGATTGGGCGCCTACAGAATTCCCCATAGGTTTCAGCGCGCAGTGATAGCCCTTGCATATTTTGGTAGGGCCATCGCAGAGGCCCGCGACGCTATCCATATGCAAGCAGCGAACCATTTCAAGGTATCGTCAGTAGAAATCAAACTTCGGGGTTCCATGATCCTGGTGGGACTATTGTCATGTGGCGCACTTTCGGCCGAAGGGAGGATCATCTTGGGGATTGATCGGTGAGGCTGTTGAGTTTAGGCACCCATTTCGATGCTTTGTTTGGCGGTGGGGAGGGGGACAATGATACGTAGGTTATTCTTCTCCATAATGAAAAAGAAGAAGAAAAAGGAAATACAAGCGAAAATGGAGACGGGATGGTCACTAGTCTGTCGGAGTTGAGATTCACACCGGGTTATTCTTTTTTTTGACATTGGTTTTGAAGGCATAATTGGGTTTTGTGGCTACAATTGGATATGACAGACATTCGACGCCAAGATATCAGAACAAGATCACCGTCGCTGATCTGCAGATTTCCACATGGTCTGGATGAATAGAGGTCTTGGTGACCAAGGATCTCAAAGAGAGTGGGTCTTCGAATGACCTCCTGACACGGAAATATTCTCATGGACAATGGCTTCAAACCGCTTGCTGTCAATACGATCGACCAGGAATCCATGTTTCCCGGCTCAGAATAAGACGAAAATTACGAATTTCATTACTGTTGATTTTGACCAGTCCTCCGCTGAGAACAACAGAGATGCAGCAAGAGGGTGCGAAAGAATCAGGGATCGTCAGGGCCAAGTGTCAATGGCGATATAGATCAGGTTAGGTAACGTGCCGTCGCCCTCTTCATAGTGTTCCCGAAGTAACATACGTCGCCCAAACACATGGTTAGGACAATTTTCCCATAAGAAAAAGGAAAAGGAAAAGGAAAATAAGAACAGAGAAAAAAGAAAGGAAAGAAAATGGAAAGGGAGAGAACCGCGGGAAGGGAACTTGTTCTTCAAAGGCCGAGGCCGGGAATCGGGATTCAAACTAGACTACCTAATGATAGCCTTACCAATGCTGGCTAGTCTACTCAAAAAATGTATCCACGCTGTCGTTGACATAACTATAATTCAAGGAGAAGAACGAGAGAGAGTCACCATTACAAGGACATGGTGCCGCCGTGGGTATATGTGTGGCCTAAAAGAGATAATCAAATAAGGACTATTGAGTTGACACCTCCTACGCCTTGCCCTATGCCGGCTGGATTCGGCCAAAACGTAAGAACTGATGGCCAATTTGGATTAAGCCATATGCCCAACCATCCGTATAGTGTTAAGCGTATCCCAAGTTCTCCACTTGGACTTTACTTAGTGCTCTCTCGTTTGTTATTCCTTGCTTTGGGTTCCGTATATGATCTTGGATTCCTGATGCCCAATCGCAACCCCTGCCACGATTATTCACTGTCACCCTCATAAGGCTCGGCTTGCACTGTACTTGTTCCTAATTGAGGTCCCTGCATTAGCAGGGGAGCCATGTTCGGGAGGGAAAATAAGACGTCATTAGAGCTACCCCACAGCTCAAGACGAGAAAGTCGACCGGTAGTATGTTCTTTGGACAAAGCAAAGCAGGATTCAGCACCAGAAATTGTTTCACCGCTTGAAACAGTCGGCAGGCTTGACTATCCAGGTAAAAAGATGCGAGGCATTTCCATCCTGAAAGTAATACTTGGGAGGTTCATCCGAGACAAGGAGACAACAAAGGGAGCAAGCACTGACCTACAAAGTGTTTATTCTTTACCGAAATAGGCTTTGTGGCAAATTGTGGCTAATGCACTCTAATAGAAATGGTGGCTGGCGGCCTGCTCTATGCACTCTCACATATGTGCTGGACATCTATCACGCCACAGTGGCAAAATCTGCGAGGCTGAGCGCAGATCGCTGTGGCTTCCGCGGCTTTCCGAAGAGGGTGTCTTTATACCGACTCAATATTGAGGTGTTCACATAGTTGAAACTAGCACCTTGCTTAACCGCACTATATCTTGTGATATCTTCATAGCTAGGCATCAACTTATCGATTGGCCCGCTGGCCTATAGGAGGTGTGTATGTATACTAGTATACAGATCGTCTTCGTATGTACCTGCATGTAATTTTGCAATTAGCATACAATACATAGCTCGATCTATCTATCGAAATCAATTTAGTTTCTATCTACCTATATCCTTCCGAGTTGGACAACCTATAATCAAAGGTCGCCTAATCCCTCACCTTGAAAGGAGAATAGTCCCGTCTGTAGTGTGGCAAACTTCATCCAGTACCCCTTACGTCTGTCAGTCCACCAATTAAGCTAGAAGGAATAGTACGCATGGGTCTCGTAAACGTGCATTTGCACCTTATGTGAGTGAATTCCTGGAAATACCTTCGGGATCATCCCTTCGGCGTTAAGTCATTAGGATGTGCCGCTCTTATCCTGCATATAATGGGGCTGTAGGACTTGGCGTTGATAGCGCGAAGCATTGGTCCATCGGTTTTAAACTTGGCCTAGTAACTTTGTGCTGAGATCACTTCTCGAGATAGATCAACGAATACATTCTTTGTGAAGAGGTGGTTGGAAAAACAATTAAGAGCGGGGTAAAAAAAAACACCTTAGGGACACTCGACTTCAACCTAATGATGAACTGACACAGCCAACGGCGATCTCGCATACTACAGCACACCGCTATGCAGTTTCGCGACTGCATCAACATCAGTTCTAGCCTACAGACCTCGACCACTCATGATCTTTGGTCTTGAAGACGCTGTTGGGAAATTGTTGTCCCTCGAATCTTCCATTCATATCAAAACACAACAGTCCCAACAGAGATCAGCCTAAGGACCATGGTCGAGGTTGCAGAACACGGGCGGGATGCATCAATTATGTCTGCATCACATTCCACATCCACCAGTGTATCTATCAGATTCTGCCAGGGGTGATATATTCCTTATTCGCATCAGAAATATGCCGCCTCAACCACACGTCACGGCAGTGGCAACTCGCTTGTTGCTGCTCACCGCTCATCCTTCCATTCTCTACAACATCACTGGATGTATACAATACATGGTTATGCAGTTATGGTGCCAATTCACGTCAGCTTCTGGCTCGAGCAGAATGTCTGGAGCCAACCCTTGGATTTTCTGGGTCACTATTGCTTTTTCTAGGAACGTATCTGCTTGCGTGATCTACGATGACTGGACAGAAGATTAGTAATAATGACTGGGAGGAAATATTGGCTGAATGTCAGCTATGACACCGTCGATTCTACTAGTATCCAGCAACGGTATTCGCATACTAATGCGGTAGACACCTGACATTGCAGGGTGTGGATCTGACTAAGGCGCAAAATCTCCCGTCCGCATCACGATGTGGCAAATCCCTCTAGACCCCAGCCGTTCAGCCGACAATATATGCGAAGTTTTTGATTTAAGAATTCAGTTTAATAAAAAAGAGACAAATGACAACAAGACAATGAATCCCTTTTCCGAAATCATTTCAGTTTCTTATTATCATAAGCATCTTGGTGTCGGGAAACTTGCGGTTGAAGGATGGGGATATCCTTACTAAAAAATTTCTCCCTTACATTACATTACAATACCGACTAGGTACATGGTGTGGACCTCATGTGCCTAGGTAGGTAGGAATCACCTCGATATATGACTGTACTCTGTACAGACATGCCTGTATTGCACAGCATAAGATTCAGTAGGGTCAGGGTTTTTATTGCTGCTGCATCTACTTGTGGTAGTTGACCCTGCGTGCAGTGGTATGTAGATAGTGCTGATATCTTTTCAGTGAGTGAATTGATCCATAGTTTACCTAAATCAAACAATTACCCAACACACCCAAAACTGCTATATGTAAATGTCTAGCGTCACCTGAACCATGAGGGCAGAGTAGTAGCCTAGACGTACAGATGCAGATGCGAGCGTCACCAGTTGGGATAACATGTCGCTCATCTACAAGCCTATCCCCAGAGACATTTACAATTTTGTTCTCGTTGCTTGGAGGATAATCCAGGTACAGCCCGGGATACTGTGTGACAACACTAAAATAAAAATAGCAGTAAGAAAGAGCAAGAATTGGCTCGGAGTGGCTCTATCTTTCCACTTTACAAGTTTCGTACAAGAGGATATGTGCATATAGTATATAGATACATCCATACATGGAAAATGATCCTAACTTCTAAGGCAGGGCCAAATGGTTCTTGTATGTGGACCCTGGCCCATGTCTTGTACAACCTCGTAGCTCTGTGGCTAGCAGCATAAGCTATAAACTGGTAG